TGTTGTCATTTTACTAGGATATTCTTCACATTTGCCTTTGGTGTGGGTGGGTGCTATTCCTTTTCTCTGTCAAGAGAACATCTTTAAGTATCTTTGTAGGGCATGTTTGGAAGAGGCATATTCTTTTAACTTTTTTTTTTACTGTGGAAAAATTTTATTTCATTTTCAAAAACAAAGGAAAGCTTTGCTGGGTATGTTATCCTAGGCCAACAATTTTTTGCTTTTAGAATCTGGCCATTCTCTTCTGGCCTGTAAAATATCCTTTGAGAGGTTCTTGTAAATTTAATTGGCATTCCTTTATATGTCAATTGATTTTTTTTTTCCATGTGAACATTTAAGGATCTTATGCTTGATTGAAGAGAGCTTAATTATCATGTGTTGTGGTAAAGCTCACTTTTAGTCAACCCTGTTGGGAGCTTTGTGCCTCTCCTGGATGTTGTTTTCCAATTCTTTCTCCAGATTAGGGAAGTTTTCTTTTAATATTTCATTAAATGCATTTGTAAGCCCAGCTTCTCTTTCTGTATCTTCTGGAACTCCCATAACTCTTATATTTGGCCTTGTAATAGTGTCTTTCAGTTCTTGAATACTTTCTTTTACCTTGAGCCAGCTCTGCTTCCAGCTTTGTGTTTGTTTTCTCCTGGTGATAGGAAATATCTTCCAATTCTGATTCTTCTGCTTCCTTCATTCTGTTTTAGAGACTCTCCACCATACTTTTAATTTGCTGTACTGTATTCTTCATGTCTAATATATCAGCTTTCATTTGATTCATTTCCTATATGACATATTCCTTAAATTCTGTGAACTCTCATTGTTGAAATGAAGCTTTATAACAAGTGTTTTGAATTCTGTTTCCCGCATTTTCTCGATGTCTTCCTCAGTGAACTCTGAGGTTGGCAAAGGCCTTTGCTCCTTTGCGGGGAAATCTTCAGTAATGTTTATTGTGGCTTTGTCTCTTTTGCTCTTGCTCGTTGTGCTTCTGTTTTTAGCAGGCTCTTCTCCTTGGGGCAGGTTTCTAAGCTGTGTGTCTACAATTCAATTTTACTTATTGTGATTGGTACATAGTTCTTTGTTTGCAGTCACTTGTGCCACTGCCTCCAGTGAGTTCCAGGTCTGGGTTTTTATATTAGATTTGCATCATGGTCTGTGTAGCCCCAGCTCCTGGCTCACCATTCTCCACCTCCATTGATACTGTGCTGAGGCTGCACTGTTGTCTGTACAACCTTTCTCCCACTTCTAGATTGAGCAGATCCCAGGATTAGGGAGACACCAGGTGTCCTATATAGCTAGGTTGTTGGTGGCGCTGATCTTCACGGAACCTGTTGGCCTTTGGGTCTGAGGACCGCACAGATCTATTTTGACCCGTATGATGCCATAGTGATATTATTTTCCTGTGGGATCCGTGCAATGCACTGAGCTCAGTGAGTTCACTCCCAGCTCAGCGTACACACAGCTCACTGTTGTCTCTGCTGTCTTAACACCTTCACCACACTGTACAAAATGATGCTTGATGCAGCACTATTAGAGTTCTTGATCCGCAGGCTGTCAGGTCTGAGAGCTACCTAGACCTGTCTTGGGTGGAACCTGTAGGATGCCATCCTGTTGCAGTTTGCTGAGCCAGAAATGAGTTCATTCCCAGCTCAGTGCATGCTCAGTCCTGTCCCATAGCCTTTTTCTCTCTAGACAAAATGGCACCCAATTTGGCTCTAAGGGGTGGACTAGGCTGTGAAATGTGCCTTGTTCCTGAACCTCCTGTTTGGGACCTGCCGCTCTGTCTCTGCTCCTGGTCAAATCAAACAAACCAGCAGGACTGGGATTTCTTCATTTGAGTTCACCTGCAGAACTCCAGGTAAACGTCCCTTCCCACCTCGTTGCTGGTGGAGTTCAGATCGCCTTTCGCTGAATGCTGCTGGGGTGTTGGTCACTGCAACACCACACCATTGTGTCCACTGCTTTTCTGTGTCTGTCAGTCCCCAGATGCCCTTCTGCTGTCTTTCTGTCCTTTCCTATTTCCTGGAATGAGCCCTCTTTGCTTCACACTGGGTAATGTTTCTGAGTCTGTTTAAACATGTCCTTACCCTATTCTGTCATCTTAATTCTCTCTCTTTAAGGTTTCAGTGCCTATTTTCCTGATATTATGAACATTTTTGTTGTTGGGAAAACTTTTGCAAAAAGCAGTTTGTACTATGTGCCCTAATTAAGTATGTAAAGATCATCAAAATAATAATAATAATAATAAGCAATTTACAGCATCTCCAGAACATGTAATTATTCATTTGAGCACATATCTGTGACATTTCCTTGGATTGTAACATTGAACAACAGTGAAATGTAAAGTCTTTTTTGAATTTAAGTCTAAACAATCTAAACCATGACTGATTCAGTCTTTGTAACAACTTGAGGTAAAACGCTGACATCACAGTGTTCTAAAATAATGCATTCTTGAGACAGTTAACCCTGGGGAAAACGCAGAATACTCAGGACTAAATTTCATCTGTTCTTGCTCTCCCTCTGTCTAGAGGGGGACAATGTTTCCTGCCTTATTTTTTCCCTGCAAACATTATACATGTGAAAATTTGACCCGATCCCTGACTCCTGTTGTCTGTACATATGTGAGGCTGCCATTCAGGTTCTAAGCATTTGAAAAGATTTCAAATAAAAGCTTAGGTTGACTAGTTTGGAGCTTGCCAAAATCACTTTCGTTGTTGCTGCTGAAAGACAGATTTATGGACAGAAAGAGGGACAGAGAGAAAGATCTTCGCATCCACTGGTTTACTCCCCACATAGCCGCAATGGCTAGAGCTGAGCTGATCCAAAGCCAGGAGACAGGAAACCCTTCTAGGTCTCCATTGTGTATGCAGGATCCCAAGGACTTCCCCCATCCTTGGCTGCTTTTCTAGGCCACAAGCAAGGAGCTAGATCAGAAGTGGAGCAGCCAGGACTAGAACTGGTGCCCATATGGGATGCAGGCACCGGCATGTGGAGAATTGGCCTACTAAACCACTGCAGCAGCCCCCAAAATTACTTTTAAATTTTTTTCTATGCTATAAAGCAAAAATAAAATAAAATAAAATAAAAAAGTAGTAGCTTTAAGGAAGAGGCTGTTATCACTTGTGAATAAGAAATTCTGAGGGACCCAACACAGCAATGAAAATATTACTCAAGATCATGTTTCAGGGGCTGGTGTTGTGATGCAGTTGATTTTCATGTGGGGGTCAACTTGAATCTTGGTGCTCCACATCCAATCCAGCTTCTTACTGATGCACCTGGGAGTGCAGGAAAAGATGGCCCAACAACTCACCTGGGAGGCCCCGATGGAGTTCCCGGCTTCTCCTGGCTTCAGCCTGACCCAGCCACCGCTGTTGCAACCATTTGGAGAGTGAACCAGTGGGTAAAAGACCTCTCTCTCTCTCTTTCCTCCTTTCCCCCTCCTTCTGTAATGCTGCCTTTAAAATCATGATTCAGATTAGTCTAGGGCTAATAGCACAGATTTGAATCAGTGACATGTGAGCTGACAGTCTAGAGTCAAAGATGATCCCTCCACCCTAAGGACAATCTCAGAATGCGTCCAGCTGGTCATCGGAGGAGCAAACTACACTTGGTGCTGGCCAGAACACTGCACCAGCTCCCTGGGTTCCTCAGAGCTCCCGGGCTGGACCACTGTGCTGCCTTCCAGGGGCTGGGGGCAGGGCATGGTGGAGAAAGCACAACTTGGAACAGCAGTGTCAAGGTGAAAGCCCTGTCCCCATCTCTTCCTAGCTGTGTGATATCTGGGCAAGTCACCTAGCCCGTAGTGTCAGGGTTCTCACTTAAAAACTGAAGACCATATATAATTATGAGGAAGATTAAAAGTAATTTTACAAGCAAAAAAAAAAAAGTGCAGCTTAAATCTTAGTTAATGCCTATACTGGCCAGACTTATGTTTTCTTCTTTTAAACTCTTGATATTTTAGTGTTTCTGTCATCTTTCAATGATTAGATAGGAAGACTTCCTATGGCTTCACATTAGAGTACTGTGTTAACTTCTTTTTATTTATCTTCCTGTACCGCCACATGTGTAGCTACATTCCTCTTGTTGCCATGTTCCATCTGGCCAATGAAAGCATGTTACTAAGATTTAGTTATTTACTTGAAAGTCAGAGTTAGAGAGAGATGTTTTATTCACTGGTTTACTCCATAAATGAGAGCAACAGGCAGGGCTGGGCCAGGTCAAAGCCAGGAGCTAGCAGCCTCTTCTGGGCCTCCCTCTTGGGTACAGAGTCCCAAGTAGCTGGGCCATCCTCTGCTGCTCTCCCGGGCACATTAACGGGGAGCTGGATCGGAAGTGGAGCAGCTGGGACTCAAACCAGCATCCGTATGGGATGGCAGCACTGCAGATGGCATCGTAACGTATTGTATCACACCACTGGCCCCAATAATACTATTTTGTAAACTTCAGATGTTGATGGGAACGATGTTATGTTGTTTTTTTTAACTTGAAATGTGTTTTGGAGTTTTTTGGGGGGAGGATTATTGTTCTGTTTATAGAATCACAGTGTTTGTTGGTTTGATAGAATGTTTTAATGGACTTTATTTGCAAGATCCTGAGCTGTGCCTGGGAAACCCCTGTGGTGATTGACAGAGACCAAGCAGGTGACCTGGTGGCTTAGGCTCTGCAGTTCTTGGGTTGGAGCTGCTGACACCATGGGTCAGTCCCACCTTTTGGACTGACCAGTGACATCAACACTCTTACTGACCTGGTGGCTCCTTAGGACTTCCTCCTGCTAGCTGACTCCAAGGATCCTGGACTAGGAGATGGCTTGCTTCTGGGTGGGCCCTGGCTGTTGCATCAGTCATCAAGCTTCAGCCTCTAGTGTCTCCTACCCAACTCATTGCTACGAAAAGCAAGCTCTCATTAATGATTTCTTCCCTGGGAGGTGCCATGTCTTTCTGCAAAGGCACTGAGTTAGTGCCCAATTGCTGCCACCAAGCCTGTAAACACCATGTCTCTCCTTGTGGCAACAGGCACATCTCATCGTCCTGGGTGAAGACCTCCCTCAAGAGGAAACAGCCGACTCCGCGCACTTTGTCGCCCACGCTGCTGCTGCTTCCAAGAAGCCTGTGTTCCAAGGTGAGCAGTGGCCTCCTCCCCTCCAGTGCCTACACACCTGTGCCCCACACACCAGAGTGGGCCCGCGGGCCCTGCTGAGAGCCACCATCATCTGTGGCTGTGTGCTCTGCTGGCTTCTGCTCCTTCACCCCACCCCCTGCCTTCCTCTAACCTTTCACTGTCGAATAAGCTCGTCTCCATCTAAGCATAGCTATTCTCGGCCCGGGGAAATCTGGGCTGGGCTGGCAGGGAGATCTGCTCAGCTTGCAAAGGTGACTGTTTCAAGATTGTTGTGGGGCTACTGTGGCAACAGCTCTGGCCTCCAGCTGCCTGGATTCTACAGGGAGTTGCCATTTATGGCCACCACGTGCTGCCATGTCTCCTGCTTTCAAGGCAGATCCCAGAGATGTGGGGGTACGTTAACACACCACCAGGGTGCAGAGCTTCTGCCCGTTGTCTCCATTGAACACACACACTCCCATGACTTACTTTCCAGAATAGTTAGAAATTGAGCATAGTTCCCAAAGACATGAGGGCATTTCCCCAGATATCAGGTGACATTCCTTGTGGCAGAGGCACCGAATCCAGGCCTGTGAGGCTTGGGTGGGCTTGGAAAGCAGGAGTCAGGAGCAGGCAAGGAGGGCAGAAAGCAAGGGAGGGAAGGGACAACCTCAGTGACCAGGAGGACCCAGGGGCCCACAGGCCACCCCTGCAGACCTGATGGCGGGGGCGGTGTCCAGCCTCCTGTCTCTCCTGCCCCCTGCACCCCTTCTTCCTTTCTCCAGAGCTCAGAGAGCCTATTGAGGTCTGGAGGGGACCTGCCCACCAAGGGTAGAGGGAGCAGACAGGTGACCTGCCTCGCTAGAACATTCCATACACAACTTGTTTTCAAACCCTTCAGACACCCATGCATATGTATAATTTTTATATGTCAGTTGAAATATTTTTTTAATCTTTTTAAAAACACCTTGAAATAGTCAGCATTGTGCCAGTTTTTTGGTACCTAAAATTCCTTTGATAGAGGAACAGAATCTTCCATTCCACAGCTGTTAATAAAACACCTACAGTGCGTCCGCGCACTTGACAGCCAGCTCTTTCATAGCAGTGATCACAAACCTGAGGGTCAATAGGAACCAAGCAAGCAGCATGAGTCCAGCCAGCACAGGCGGTTGTTGGAAGCCAGTAGCAGCAATGGCAAATGTGATTATATGTGGCAGCTAGCTGTGGGGCTGTGGCATGACAGAGATTTTGCAGATAGGTGTGGACTGTGGCAAGGAGCAGACACCACCCCTGCTCTGCACCCCTGCACTCGCTCTGGCCACTGATGCCATGTGGAAAGGAGCCTTACATCAGCACGCTTTCCCAGGAGATGACAGAAACATGGCTTGTGGTGAAAGGTCTTAGCACCGTTACTAACCCCCATTCACAATTATCTACTGCTCTCAATGGGACAGGCTCAAGTAAGGGGGGATGTTTCACTTCCGACCGGGAAGCAGGCCCATACATGGGTGTTGGCTCCTCCCCGTGTTTGCTGGTGGCTTTTGAGTGAAGACAGCAGGACAGTCCTGAGCATGACAACCAGTGGGATGTGGGGGGCGGTCATGCTCCAAGCCAACAGGAGGCCAAGGCCAAGTGGCCATCTGTTTGCCCAGAGGGATCCTGGTTTCTTGCAGCTCTCTGGCCCTTGGTGCCCTTGCCTGTTGAAATGACAGCATGTACTGGGTGGGATCCACAAAAATTGTGCCCCGAAGTGTTTCTGACCAATGTATGTGGAGGTCTGTCCCTCTGCTGGGCATGGTTTCCCAAATCCAACATGGCACATACAGATGGCTTTGCTCTAAGCGTGGTGCCAACTGCCTCCCCTGTGCTCCAACCGTTTCACCTGTCTGGTGCGCATGTTCATGTGTGGGAGAGCCCCCTGGCCTCACCCAGAGGCTGAAGCTGATGTGGGCCAGGATGGCCATAGTACTAGCCTTCCACCTTTATAACTCAGGAATCATTGCAAGATGCATTCAGTTACCCCCCCCCCCTTTTTTTTTTGATGGAGAAACTGAGGGGCAATTTCCACAAGGAACCTCCAGCCAACAAGAGATAGATGTCTTGGCCAGACAGTTGTCCCGATAGGCTGTGTTATGCTGTGTTATGCTGTGTAAACAGTATAAGGTCTGGTACCACACCCATCCCATTTCCTACCTTTCCCTCCTCACTCAGGTCAGCCACAAGGGACAGCAAAGCAGCCCAGCAGGGAGGATGTTGGTTGGAATGCCAGTGGGGAGGGACCAGGACCCTGGAGCTCATGCCACTTTGCAGCTCCAGCCTGGGTACAAGTCTCTTCAGCAGCCCGGGGCATTTTCTAGGCAATGCACAAGTTATCCACTTAGTCAGAATTGAAACAAGGGAGGAACATAAAGGTAGGAGGATGTTAGGAAGGGTGTGGCCTCTGCTGGAAGCTTGGGCTACAGGCAGAGCTTCAGCAAGGACGTCGGCGGCATCAGGGAGTGCATCCTGTGTGCAAGTGCCAGCCTTTTCACAACAAACTGACCAGACTTTGTAACAACCCTTTAGGCGGGCTGTGAGCCCCCACAGCCAGCTCTGACTCTCAGGAGGACATGCCCAGAGAGGCGTCCAGCTCTGTGTGTTGCTCTGACCTGAAAGGACTTCACAATGCTCCTAGGCAGGCCTCCCGGGTATGCCACCAACCAACCAGGAAACACTTACATCCTCCATGACCTTAGTGCCATTGGGAAGTTTACTGAAGCGGGGAGGTTGGGCAGAAACACCATGGGATGGGAGTGGCTCAGAGGTGCTGACTGTCCAGCAGCACCATGAAGCCATGAAGCAGGTGCTCGCCCTGAGTGACCTCAAACAGGTGACTTCCAAGAGCCAGTCTTCCTCCTCTGTGAACAGAGTGTGAAAACCATCATCGGAATTCCCTTAGTGGCAAACCCAGGAAAGGGAAAGGCTAGGAAATGAGTCCGTCAGCCCAGCATGTTGAGATATAGACTTCGTTCTGGCTCTTTCCTGTCTGTGCATAAGCCTGCTGTGGGCAGAGGGTGTGTGGCCTTCTAGAAGCAGACATAAGGCAGGCACTACCTAGCCATGAACAGATGCCTTTCATGTCACTTCTCACATAGGCACAGCAGGCATGAGCCAACCCACTCACTGCCCCTCCAGCAGGGGCAAGAGAGATGGGGCTGTCAGGCACTTTTCCATCTGATAACCACAAGGAGACCAGAGCCTCTGCCCCCCACAGTGCTTGTCCACACTTGGAGTGAGAAGTCACGTCCAGATCCCAGGGGAATGAATCTGTATGTTGCACCAAGCAGGGCTCCATGGGCCCTGGAGCTGAGGTGGGCATGGTGTGAGGGGATGGCCCTCGACTCTGCAGTCCTGGGCTGGAAGTGTCTGGGCTGAGAGCAGAGGCGTTGCACAACAGCTTGGCTTTGTTTTATGGAAAGCAGAATCTCTGATGAGCAGTCTTGCCTTGGAGGCCTGTCGGAGACCCGCCCGCTAAATGCCCATTGAAGGCATTACTCTCCAGCAAATGCCGCTGGCCAAGGAGCAAGTGGCTCGGGCTCCAGGTTCGAGCAGGTCCCCTTTCTTGTGCCTTCCCTGCATTCCTCATGCAAACAAAACGGCCCCAGATGTCAGAGAGGATTGTGATGATTGATAAAGACTCCTAATCCAGGCCCCTGGAATGCCACTAACCTGTGCCTGGCCAGCCTCCCGGAGCAGCCATAGACAAACTTGGTATTAACAGCACTCCCAAACCAGCTCTGTGCTTGGGGCATTGGTCTCATGTTTATAACTCTTCTCTTCAAAGATATTAAAAATGAAACAGCCCGGAGCCAAGGACATTTCAGGATAAGCTTTTAAGAGGCCAGCTCAGCCTGCTGGGTGCAGGATACCTTGTTTGGAAGTGACCCCAACTGCGGCTTCCAGCAGTATTCTAGAGCACTTCAGGGTCCCATGAGACCTATGAAAGCTGACAGAAGGGGCTCTGCCTCACCAGGAACTGGAGGCGCAGAACCTGGGATGGCTGATGGATGCATTCCCAAGATGTAATTCCCCATGCACAAATTGGGGCAATTCCCCAGCTGCACTGGTCCCAGCCTTTGCCTGCAGTGGTCCACAGCAGACACGCCTCGCTCAGAGCTTTCCCTCGTTACCTCGGCTGTTCTTTGCTGACTTGTCCCAGGCTGGGCCCTACACCACCCTGCCACCTGCTCCCTGGGTCTGTGATCCTGGGTCTCCCTGGGCCTCATACGTCCCAGAGACAAGAAGTCACATGGCATACCCATGTACTGAGGTCCAACCACAGCCAGGTGACCGTCTCTTTCCACAGCCCTCCCCCAGCTGCCCTGCTACCTCCCTCACTCTGCCTCCACCCTGAGGTCTCCCCAGCAGGGCCTAGGGCACAGTCTTGTGGGTGCAAGGTGAGAGGAACCATGCCAGCCTTGCCCCTGCCCCATTTCCCTTCACTCTTCATTTCCCTTTCTTCCTCAGCCTACCCACGTTGCAGCCCTTGCTCAGGACCCATTTCTCAGTACAGAGCAGCCCACCAGCCTGAGCCTGGCCTGCCGCCCAACTCCCCAGGGCCTGTGGGCATCCATCCCTGCTTACATCCCACAGGGAGCATGTGAGAAGGGGAAGGCAGTGTGTAGTGCCCAAAAGGGGGGAAGAGGAGCCTCCATCTGTTTCCTCTAGCATTAGGAGGCTTCCTTCTTGGAAACTTCTGGAAATCACCAGAGTCATGACATCATGCTAAGAGTCCAGGTTCCTCAGCAAGTTAGAGGCAACACAAGGCCTGGAGTGGAGCCTTGGTACTGTGAACTGAGGGCACTGCAGATCAGAGAGGTGGTCCTGCCAGCCCTGGAGGATTTAGGGCAGTGCCCCAGAAGTGGCCTTTTCTCCCTCTGAACCTATGCTGTTGGCCTCGCTCCCTAGAGGACCGACTGGACTGGCACAGAAGTGCAGTGTCAATCCAGCTGTGCCCAGTGTCCACCTCCTCTTCTCTCTGAGAGCAAAGCCTGTGGCTGCAAGTGTGCGAGCTCTAATGGCCACCTGGACAAGGTTTGTGGCTTCTCCAAGAAGCCTGTGCTGTTGCCAGCCTCCTTGGCTCTCACAGGCTTCGAAGGCAGCTCGTGGGAATGTGTGACTACACCAAGACTAGCAGGTTCAGCAGCCATAGGGCCAAGGCTGCTGGGAGCCTAACCACTATGCAGGGTCCCACTGTGATGAGCTCCAAGGAGAGGAGGGGGAGATGGGCAGCCTGGTGGTGAGGCTGCTCAGGGCAAGCAGATTCAGTGTGTGGAGCCCCTTGCCAGGCTTCACCCAGTCTGCCGCTGACCTGCCCCTTGCTATCCTGATGCAAAACTGCTCCTGAGACAGTCCTGGGTTTCCTTATGTCACACACCAGGCAAGCAGAGCTCTGCAACACTCAGAAACCACGTCACAGCTCCCTAACCAAGCTGTCCTCCCTCAGGGGGTCTCCTCCCAGAACCCTGGAAGCCCCGTGGTGCAGAGAGAGCCGCATGTGGCCAGGGGCTTCCAGCACAACCTAAGTGGAATGTGTGTGTGTGTGTGTGTTTTCCACGTGAACCACGCTAGGCTGCGGTGGGAGAGACTTTGTGGTCCAACGGCGTTCGCAACAATGCCAAGTAAAAACTACCTACTTAGACAGTCACAGAAGATAATTGTCACATTGCACACAGAGGCCTCCCCTTCTCAAAAGCTGTGCTTCCTGTCCAACGCAGCCAGCTCCCAGGGAAATGAGCCCAGGGTCATTGGCATTTCTTTTCATTAGAAGCCTCCTGACCTTGGGGGGCACGCATCAGTCCCACATTGCCCTTCAGATAAAGCCTTGTTTCCTCTTCCCCCCCCCCGGCCCCGGGGCCATGAACCCCTCCTGCCGGAGTCCCCAGTTACAGCCGCCTGCACAGACATGACACCTCGTCGCCCAGCAGGCTCCCCACACCCACCCACAGGCAGCCTAAACATTGGGTCAGGGTGGTGAGCCACACGGAAAGAGACCCGTAGCCTTGGGACACCTCAGCCACAAGGGCTCAGGTTGACAAGTGCCGGTCATGCTCCTGAATTTTAAAAAATGACCTCATCCTCTGCTCAGGCCATGGGCGTCTGGTTACAGAGCATTCTAGAAGTGGTGTTTGATTTAGGGGCGGCTGGTGGAAGAGCTGAAGATGATAGGCCTTTGTGAACCTGTACTCCAGGTTTGTGCTGGAGCAGAGGAATATGATTTCCTGTCCAGCCAGAAATGCTGTTGTCATTTGTCCCAGGGCGGTCTGGGATGCCCTTCCACCAGAAAACTCGTCAGGAAGTGACTGAACGCTCTGTGGTATCAGGACTCGGTTTGCTCTGTTGCCCCAAAACTTCAAAACCTTTTGAATTGTAGCTCCCAAAGTAAATGGGGCGGGGGCGGGGGAGTGATGCAAGGAAGGGGGCAGGAGAGGTAGAAGGTGGAGGTGAAGGAGAGGCTGAGGGAGTTTCTCTGTTTCCCAGATCAAGATAAAACCGATTTCAAAGTTTGGGGCTCGGGGCGGATTAGAGAGGTGTTAGCACCATGGATGGGCTAGACTCAGCCCCTGGCCTCTCCAGTGTATCAGGTCCTGGTGGGAGATGATGAATTCTTCGCATGTTTTGTGGGTGACAGCTCTGAGTGAAGACTACCCCCAGAAACAGGAATGGGGAAAGCATGGGATGTCTGAGAAGCCAAGACCCCAGGGAGTCAGGTAGAGAGATAGGACCCAGAGCTGGCTCCCTGCCCACCCAGGGCATTGCCTTGGGCCACATGGCTATATTCAGAGAGTACTCACCCCTCCCTTCTGCTCATCCACCCCCACTCTTGGGGTGCACCTGCACTTACACACATCCTCTTTTGGAAATCATGACTCCATCTCCCTGAGTTGGAGATCAAGCACTATGTGGGCTTGATTTGAATTTGGCTTCCTTTCTTCTAGCATCTCTGTGCACGTACTTGCACTGGAAGAAGGGGCCTGGTGTGCCCAGGGCCAGAGCTGACATGGCTGCTTTAGGAGATGGCTGTGATCCCCAGCTCCCAGAGAAGGAATACTGGGCAGCAGATCTGCTCTGCTTGCTCCTGTGAGTCAGCTCAGCACACAACAGACATCACACTTTCCATGTGGTAGCATTTTCTCCAAGATGGAAACTTGAGTCATGCTCCAGAAATGCCTCAGTGGCTTGGGCAGTGGGCAGACTCCCATGGAAGGACAGGGCAGGAGGAGGAATTGGCCCAGGCCAGAGACCTCCCAAGGAGGCAGGGCCTCCTGGCAAGTGCCTACCCCCGGCCACTGCTCCAGATCCACACTCCGGGCTCTAGCCGATGAGCACGGCTCGTTTCAGACCGATGCTCTCCTTAGGGTGATTAGATTTGGTAGACTTACTTCCCAAGTGTTTACTTCTCTGTTTGAGAACAGACCACGTGGAATGTACTTGGACTATTTTTCAACCCTCAGGCCGTTCTTGTTGCCAATGTCAGGCTGTTCTCAGAGCTCTTGAGGCATGCAGAACCATTGATCTGCAAACTCTGCAGCTTTTGACCAGTGGATTTGGAACTCGGCCCAGTACGCGTGGGGGAAAAACACAGCCACAAAGAACTGTCGCTGAAGTTAGAGAAGGAAGTGCTCGTTGAGGGCCAGCATTCTGGCAGTCATCCAATGGGTTGTTGGTGTCTGTCCATCTGTTCACTCCTAAAAGCCCTATTAGAGATGTACTGGAGTGATGGTCCCCTTTTCCACACGAAGAAACCAAGGGCAGTGGAGGCTGGCACGCTACTGGAGAGGAGCTGAGCCAGAACTGAGCCCAGGCAGCATGGCTGCAGAGCCCACTGACATGGCTGCTCATTCAGCTTCCTCACACGCGGCCCAGCCCACTTCCTGCTCCACCTGTGGCTCACAGCAGCCTCTTGGGAGGCACCCAGCATCCATATCACAAGACAGATGCAAAGGTCGATTCAATCGAAAAGATATTAGAATTTAAAAACAAAACAAAAAACCACTTGGTGGCTTGACCACAAACAAAGATAAGAAAGGTGCAAACACAAAATTGAAAATTATAAAGGGGGAATAAATAAAAGGGAAAATGTACAGAGGCAAAAGATCGTATTTTATACACAGACACTTGAAGAAGCTCATGGGAGAAAGCTGACGGAATTGGAAGGTTAGCTCAGGATCAGGCGCTTGTTCTTCCAGCCAGGATGCCCACGTGCCCCACCATCATGGTTGGGTTGGTTCCTGGCCTGCTCCTGACTCCAGCTTCCTGCTACCATGCACCCTGGGAGACAGCAGTGATGCCTATAGTGAGTTGGCTTCCTGTGACCCACTTGGGCAACTTGGATGGTGTTCTCAGGCCTTGCAGGCATCTGGGGAGTGAGCCAGCTCATGGAATAGTCTGTCTCTCTCCTCTGTATGTGTGTCTCAACTAAATTAAAAAAAAAAACTTTATGAAAAAGTAAGTTGGAATGGACACTGTTGCACAACAGGCTAAGCCTGGTGTTAAATTCCACTCCTTTCATATAACTCCCGGTTGATGTGCCTGGAAGGCAGCTCATCATGGCCCAAGCACTTGGGATCTGTTATCTGCATGGGAGAGCTCAATGGAGTTCTTAGCTGCTGGTTTCGGCTTGATCCAACCCCTGCTTTTGTGGGCATTTGGGGAGTGAACAAATGGATGGAAAATCCCCCCTCTGTGACTCTCCACCTTTCAAAGAGCATGCATTTTCCATGAACATGTACAACCCTCTCCTACAGCACGGACACATGAGATTCCTAAGTGAAGACCAATATATATGTGGGCCATGATCTTCCCCAACAAGCCTGATGCTTCTATCATGGGTCACTGTGATGTCACCCCCAGGAAGTGAGACTGAAGGAGTCCCACACCTGGAAGCTATCCCATTTTCTTCCATGAGAGCCAGAGGTCAGCCAGCTTTCGACTCAGGTTCAAATCCCAGTCAGACGATGATCAAATCCAAGTCAGGGAAGATCTTGCTTTGTAACATCAGTAGTATCCTAGGACACAGCCTGACCCCAGGAGAGCTGTCTCATCTGGCTTATGAGGCCCACCTGTGACCACGGAGGAGGGCACTGGGGTCATTGAGAATTCTGCAGGCTTCGCCGGCTCTGTGCCAGGAGCTCATACAAGGAGCATACACCTGTCTCCAACTGCACTCCCAGGCCATTGGACTGCAGCTCCCGTTCCTGGCTCTGGATTCCAGTTCTCTTCATTTTCCAGATCCAAGGTTTTCCTTCTTTTGCATCCAAAATGGTACATTTAAAAATGTTTTTTATGACATGGCTGGCAGCCTGTTTAAACCTTTAGAATAGCTGAGGTTTCTTTCCCCAGTGGTGTGTCAGGAGGGTCTTCCAGATTTTTCACATTATGGAAATCTGTCCCAGGATCAGAGTCCTTGAAAATTAGTGGACCCTCAGATCCTAACCCCTGTGAGGAGTTATAGGAAGAACTCCCGGTTGCTCAACCTGAACACTGACCCCTGTGTTGGAGTTGTGGAACGCACTCTTGTTTTTGCATTAGCATCACTTTTTGGTGTCACCAATAAGGTAAGCCGAGTGACAGTCGAAATGGCCATACACTTGTGACACCTGAGTCTTTTCCGATCTAACAGGCAGATCAGTAGGCAAAGGCAGTCTCCTTCTCAGTTCTCTCTCCAAATACCTGTTCTTTCAAATTGTCGGCCACCACTAAAAGCACATTTACTCCATTATTCTTTCAAGTCAGCCAGCAGTTCTCAAGGTAGCTGTTAATGATGCTTTCCCACAGAAGTGGCTGAGCAGCATTTTCAAGAGTGCATGTCTCGTCTTAAGGACTGCAATGACAGCGCAAGAGCCAAATTTCTCTCGGTTCAAGATGAATTTTGTCATTTTCTGCAAATCGTTGGACAAAAAGAGGTGAGTATGAGCTTGGGTTACGACTGTCCAGTTATTTGCATGGGTAAATAGTTGGTATCCTAAGAGTTACTCCTTTACTCTGCAAGCATCTATTAAGCACCTACTGTGTGCAAAACACATGGCAGGCCCTGGAGGAACATGGAAGTAGGTGGCCAAGTGGCCTCTCTTGGAAAGTGTCTAGACATTTTCTCTTAGAAGCTGGGAAGCTGTTTCTAAGAGTGTAGATCTCTTGTCTACCTATGAACGATTCTAAAGCACTTGGACCCCTGGAGGACTCAGAGGACAGATACTGCTTATTGCACCTGGAGTAGGGTGTAGTGGTATCTCATTCCTCTCTCCTCCTCTTGGGTAGTGAATGGAATCTTTGTGTCTAGTGACAACTACACGGAGTGGAAATTCCTGCTCCCTTTCCTACCACTGACCCAGACAGGCACACACTTCACGTGGAACAAGACCTAGTTTGTAGCCATTGGTAATGAAACTCCCAAACATGTATTACCTGTGGAGCCTAATGGTAACCAGGAAGCCACACACTGAGTGTGTAGACATGCTCACGGTAGCACACGGAGGTGACCCTCTGTGCTCATGGGTTCCACATCACAGATTCAACAATCCAGATGTATTTCCGTAAAACATTACATCTGGGGCCCAGCACGATGGCTCCATTGGCTAATCTTCTCCATGTAAACACTGAGGTCACATCCCGCTCTCTGCTTGTGGTCTGGGAAAGCAGTAGAGGACAGCCCAAGGCCTTGGGACCTTGCATCCACGTGGGAGAACTGGAAGAAGCTCCTGGCTCTTGACTTCAAATCAGCTTACTCTGGCCTTTTGGGGAGTGAACAGGTGGATGGGAAAGCTTTCTCTCTGTCTCTCCTTCTCCCTATAAATCTGCCTTCCAAATAAAAATAAATAAATCTTTTAAAAAACAAAAGCATTGCCTCTGCCTTGAGCATATGCAGACTTTTTTTCGTTATTATTTGCTTAAAAAGTAGCAACTATTTGTATAGCATTTACCTTGTATTAGGCAATATGGGTAATCTAGCAATGATTTAAAGTATAGGAGAGGGTCCATGTAGATTATATGCGAATAGGACACCATTTGATTATTTATTTATTTATTTTTATTTGGCCAAGAGATACAGAGCGAGATAGACATAGGGTTCCTCTCTGCTGGTTTACCCACGACATGTCTACCACAGCCAAAGCTGTGGGGGAGGCAGGAGCCTCATCACTCGAGTCATCACGGCTGCCTCTCCAGGAGGCTGGAGTCAGGAGCCAGGTCAGGGGGTCAGCTCTCAGCACTGCCGTGTGTGACTCTGGAGTCTTCAGCGAGGCCAAATGCCTGCTTGCTACACCATCTTATGTAAGGGCCCTGAGCAGCTGAGGGCTGCTGTCGTCCTGGAGCTGATGCCCCACGGAGGCTAAGGGACAGCTCTGTGGGACAGGGGCTTGTTTTTTCCAACCCCTTCCCCTCTTGGCAAACTTAGAGTTCCTCCCTCATCCCTAACCCTACGCTCTCTGTCAGCTAAGTAACACAGGCTTCTTAATTTTATATATTCCTTTTATCACAATTCAAGAGGCAGAGCGAAATTGAGGGAGACAGGAAGAGGAAGATATTGTCATGGAGCTAGTCACTCCACAGTGTACCCAACTTGGGCCATATTTCATTGCCTTATAGGGTGCCCATTAACAGGAGGCTGGATTGGAAGGTAGAGGTGGGGCTCGATCCAAAACATCCCAGTGCAGCTGTTGGGTGTGCCAGAGGAGATTGCAGTTCACAGGGCTGAGCCCACATATCGCCCACAGATTCTGCTACCAGACCAATTCTCTCACACGTTATTGTCATGACCATCCTAACATCACCCATCTCCTGTTTCAACTCTCATTGGTGGGTACTGTGATCTTGCCCTGCCAGGTAGGCCCCAGCCTTAGCTATCGTATGTACCAGTGAGTAGTGCTCAGTGATGGTTGATGCTAACTAGCTACCCCAGCTCAGGTCTCCCATGTGTGTTGGTACTTTGGCCTGATCTTTAATGGCCCTCCTGTTCCACCCTCCAAACCATTTGGTCTCAGCTCCTCACTTACCTACACATGCAGTGGCCTTGTCCCTGGAAGTCCTCAGCAGTAATTCCTCACCTGGGCATGAACCCTCAGGTCATCGCTCACCCCCACCTGTGCAATCCTCTAGTCCCCTGAAAATCCACACCCCCCATGCCCCAGAGCACACCACCAGGTGGCCCGAGGGCTTCACCCAGCACCATTGGCACCTGAGCCAGCCACTGACCCAGAAGGGAGAGGTCCCCCGCCCCGGCATGGCAGCTGAAGGCTGTCTGAGTTCATACAGGCTTCTAACCTAAATGCACCCATGGTTTCATTATGTACCTGGGTCACCCAACCAGAGGGAGAAGGGCCTAGATGTCCCCACCCCATCTCTGGAAGCCCTAGGGGTGCTTCCAGCCCTGCTCATTCCATGTCAGGTGCCCTGGCCATGTGATGCCACCTGCCCACCATGCTCAGCAACCTTGTACCACTCTGACCCTCTGGTCGCAAGCCTGTCACCAGGGGCTTGTAGGTGTCCACCCACAAGGGCTGGGCCCGAGGACAAGCATGCAACTATGCTCAGACCATCCCCAATGTGGCCCCAGCCTACACACAGAAAAGCGATGTTGAGGTAGAGGATGTTTTGACCATAAACGTGAGTGGAGGTCATCCCTGTGGGTCTGCCTTGTGCCATCCTCCCCCTCCAGAACCCCCTCGACCTCTGACCCTTCATTACAAACTCCTGCCTCTGGGCAGAAGCAGACACCACCCACCACCAGCCTAGCCCTCGTACTCTGTCTGCTGCTGTCCCGAGTTTATCCGCTGGTTTTAAATGGACCACATGCTTCTCCCATTCACCCGGGGAGTCCTATCCTGCACCCACCCACCATGACCCTGCATGCTCCTTGCTCCCCTCACTGCACTTCTCCTGACCACTTGAGGATGACAGTATGTCTGTCTCCTACTCACCCCTTGCTGTCCCTTGGCCTGACAGTTACCTCCCTCCACATCCATCTCTGGCTCTCTACCCGGCTGCAAACTGCGTGTGACAAGCTTCATTCAGGAACAGGGGTCACTGGCTCCCCAAAACTACCCAGTCCTACCCCCATGGTCAGCCTGGGCCCTTGCTCAGGGGATGTGATGGCACCCGGTCTCTCTCAGGGGATTTTCCTGCCAAAATGTCCACGGAACCACCGAGGGGGTGAGGTGAGAATGTTCTGTGACCGAAAGAACCACCAGGGACAGTCTGATTGAGCATGTCTGTCTGTTTTAATGCAAGCACAAACTTGCATAGACTAAGAAAGGGGCAGGCAGAAGGGCATTTATCAGCTGTGCTCCCACCCAGCAATGACACTTTAATTGGCTAGAACACATGACCATCTCTCTCTGGATCCTCCAATCGAGTCACAGGTCACATACAACACATAGGCTGGAAGGAATGTCTCAGGTCACAAGCGGGTAGGCTGTGAGTCACATTGACTTCTTCGAGTTGCTTATCAGGGAAGTCCCAGCATAGCTCTCCAAGAACAGAAGAGAAACTGGGGTACAGCCTACCACTCTTGCCTGTTTAGTCAGTGGTCAGGCCAAGTTGAGGTCTCGGTGTGCCAAGACCATTACCAAGGGGTTGCCCTGAGGACACTGTGTGCCAGGTACCTGTGACCTTCCACATAGACTAAGCAGGCAGAGATCCCGGAGCAATCACACATGTCTCGGGCAGGTCTGGGTTCAGCCCTTTTCCATAATGTGGCCTTCACACCACACTCCTTTACCATGGAGCTCCCCCCTCCTACCCTTCCCACCTAGCAGATTGATTCTGGCCTCAGCAGCAGCAGCGGTGTGATTCCTTCACTCCACCCTTGGCCACTGAAGTGCACAGCTCTCCCAGCTCCGTGGGCCCCTGCTGTTGGAAGCGACTCCTGGAGCCCTGCTTTTACCAGACTGTGAAATTCAGCCTTTGTGTTCTGTGGGAGATCATGGAAGTGTGGGAGCCTGATGCTTAGCAGGGCCATCCCCCTGCCAACCTTGGTGTGCAAAGAAATTCATACCAGAAAATACAGTTTTCTGTCCATGTCATTTTTCATTCCATATTGATGTAAACCAAGCATGTCACGTCACATTGGAATGTTTAGCTTGGGTTTCTTAAGCTATTCCCTGTGCAAATAGAACCTTGTGGAATGTTCTGGATGATTGATAAAGGAGAGAAATAATGAGAAACCACAGCTGTAGTTTTCACGTAGGTAGGAACACCCATATGCGCAGTGGGAGGAAAACATGGAAGCAAAGCATGGGAGAGCTACCAGCAGGATTCAGGCCTAGCTCTACCCCGCGTGATTCTGATCAGGCTCCTAAATCATCCCTCACTGAAGGTCGCAGGGACTTCATGCAGTGGCAACACCTGTTGGCCATGCTCTGCTCTCTTCAGGTGGGTTCTCGCAGGAGCCTTGTGGGTTTTCTCAGCAGGTGCTCCTGTGTGCTCTCCCTTCATAGTTCACACCCACCATGATTTCCATCCAGAGGGACAGTCAAGCCCCGCCTCCTCGGAGGTGGCCTTAAGCTCTGCCTCTGACAGCGTCTTGCTCTTTTCCCAGAGAGCCATGGCCATCCTGAGAGAATCCCTTGAAGCCAAGGTGTCCCTGTTTGGGGACTTCAGTCCAGAAGTGGCAGAGACATACCGGCTGCTGGGCGGTGCAGACCTGGAGCAGGGGAACCACCGCGTCGCCCACAAGGCTCTGAAAAAGGTAAGGCTGCACCTGACCCTGATGTGGGGGACCCCCAGGCCTGCTCCCCAGGCCCAGCCCCGCCCGCTGCATGGAGATGCACTTTGTGCTTGGGGAAGATAGCTTGAGCTTTGCCATTAACCTAAACCTTCACTTAAAAAAAAAAAAAAAGATTTATTTATTTATTGGAAAGTCAGATATACAGAGAGGAGGAGAGACAGAGAGGAAGATCTTCCGTCTGATGATTCACTCCCCAAGTGACTGTAATGGCCGATGCTATGCCGGTCTGAAGCCAGGATCCAGGAACTTCTTTCCAGGTATCCCACATGGGTACAGGGTCCCAAAGCTTTGGGCTGTCCTCGACTGCTTTCCCAGGCCACAAGCAGGGAGCTGGATGGGAAGCGGAGCTGCCAGGATTAGAACCAGCGCCCATATGGGATCCCGGCACGTTCAAAGCGAGGACTTTAGCCGCTAGGCCATGCAGCCGGGCCCTAAACCTTCACTTTTGGGTAAAAGGGAAATGATCCTCCCTGACACAGGTATTTTTAAAACTATCAATAATAAAATGATCATTAAAAAATATTTGGAAGGCAGAGTTCTAGAGAGACAGAGATCTCCACCTGCTCCTTCACTCCCAAGAGACCTCACCAACAGGCACTGAGCCAGGCTGAAACCAGGAGGCTGGAGCTCCATCCAGGTCTGCCATGGGGAGCAGAGACCTAAGAAACCCGGCCGTCCTCTGCTGCTTTCCCAGGAGCATCGGCAGGGAGCTGGATGGAAAGTGGAACAGCCAGGATTCAGGACTTGAACCAATGCCCATATGGGTTGCCTTTTAAAACAGGCTGGCAGCCCTACCTACTGAGCCACGATGCCGACCCCTTGATGATTTTTTATCGCACAAATATTTTCAATTTTTAACATAGCGTGATTTCTTGGTCCTTCATGCTAATGGGCTCTTCCTGGATACCTATTTTATAGAGAAATTCTTCTACATTTTCTACCATTATTATTATCTCTTTATGGAGTTTATTTGTATGCATGGTATGAGGCATGCATCTCTTGTTTCCTTCATTCAAATGGCTCCCCTTGCCCAGCACTGTTTTCGTTTGAAAGCCTTCCCAGGTGTAAGGTGGCAGCTTTGGCATCTTCATCATGTCCAGAAGGCCTAGGGTCTGTTTGTTTCTTCATGTTCCAGGATCTCATAGTTTTAATTACAGAGATTTTTTATAAAGTGATTCAGTATGAGGTAGGACTAATAAACCTGTCCTGGCTTTTTATTTCCTAGATTTTTCAGGGTTTCTAGATATTCTTGTTGGTTTGTTTTCTTACCTCATTCTCTATCAACTTGTCTAGCTCCATTAAAGGTGTTGGTATTGTTGTCAGTTACTTGTTAATAATCTTGGGAGAACTGGCATCCTCATAAGTTGTTCTACCCAAGAAGAAGGGATGTGTCTCCATGGGTTCATATCGCCTTGTGTGTGTGTCAGGCACATTTGAAAGTGTTTGTCATGCCATGCAGTTTTTGCACTTTGCTTGTTAAGCATTTTCTCTTCTGTGTTTCTATTGTAAATGGGGACATATTCACTATTACATCTTTTGCTTCATTTTTGTGTAATTGAGGCTATTGGTTTCTCTAATGGCTTCTTTCATGGTTTGGGTTGAGTGTTGATACTGTTACATTTATACAATAGACAGAATTTTACTTTGTTTTCCAATTCTTCTATCCCTCTTTAATTGCTTTCATCTAAACACTCTGACTTGTACTACCAGCGTAATAATCGGCGGCAGTGGCGATAACGGACACCTTGCTTTGTTTCTGCCCTTCGTGCAGGTGCCTCCACTCCTTCTTCATTTAATAGATGCTGGCTTTAGAAAGGTTTATATACTTTTACCATGGTAAGGAAGCCTCCATCAATTTACATTTTATTTGATTAGAAATAGATCCTAAATTTTGGAAAAGACTCATCTGGATCAATGGGCATAATCAGATGATACTTCTTAGTTAACTTAATATAATGTTTTTTATTATAATATTGAACCAACCTCACACTCTTGGACTAAGTCCTCCTTATTCACACTGAATTCTTTGCTTAGAATGTCACCTTAGTTCATTTTGCACTGCCGTCACAGAATGCCAGAGACCAGTTGATTTACAAAAAAAGAAATTGATGTCCAACAGTCCTGGAGGCTGGGAAGTCCATGATGGAGGGGTTGACATCTGGCCAAGGCCACGCTGCTGCCTCACTGCATGGAGGAAGGCGAGAGGGTGAGAAAAAGCTTGGGCCAGACTTAGTCTTGTAGGACAGAGCAGATCCCAGCGTCCATATCTGCAGTAAGCCTGCAGGATTCCATGGGGAGCACAGGATGGGGAAATTCCTTGGCAATTTTCTTTACTATATAAAAAGTGTTTTGTTGATGCTTTCGATGCCTAATGAAATCATTCCAGTAAGCTGCATTTGCCTAGGTAATTATCCATTTCAGGAAATTTTCCAAGTTTTTTACAAAGATTTGCAAATAATTTCATGAATTTTTTTTAAATTTCCAGATTTAATTGTAATTTTCCCCATTTAATGGTTATCTTCCCACTGTAGTTTCTTAATTTTGCATTTGCGCTTTACCCTTTTGCTCTGAATTAGTGGTGTGTGTGTGTGTGTGTGGGTGTGTGTGTAAGAACCAGGATTTTACTCCCATAGACCTGTTGTCCTCCCATGCTCTAGTTCATTACTTTCACATTTTATCTCTATTTTTGTGCTTTATTTTGTTTTGTGATGTCGAAGGTTTGTAGAATTCCATTTTGACATATTTGAAGAGGGACAGCATGAGACAGAGACATACGACAGACGTAGGGATTTTTTCTCACCACTGGCTTCACTCCCCACAATGTTCACCACTGCTGCCACTGGCCAGGCCAAAACCAGAACCCAGTGTGCAATCCAGAGCTCCCTTGGGCATGGCAAGAAGCCAAGGACCCGAATTGTCACTGTTGCTTCCCAGGGTGTGTGGTCATAGGAGGCTGAAACAGATGCAGAGCTAAGTCTGACGCCCAGGCCCTCTGTCCCGGGATGGGAGTGTCATCCCACATAGGTTTTAAGCCCTGAGCTAAACACCTACTCCCTGCTTTGTTTGTCGTCGTTGTTGTTTTCTCCCTTCCTATCTTTATGAGTTGAGATTTAAATTCATTTGCTTTCATTTGTATCCATCTAGATGTTTATTCGTATGAATTTTCCCATTTTAAATACACATCAAGTTTTGTTGTGTTGTCTTAAATTCACTAGATTTAAAAATGGAGAAAACTTTTAAGATGAATCTCTAGGTAATATATTGATCAGACCAGAAGAATTAGCTTCCATGAGCTTTCCTAATTCAAGCCTTTTCCTCATCTTCTGACTTTTCTGCGCTGTAAAAGGCACTAGATTTGGTAACCTGTGATACCTGTTATTTAATGAGTTAACTTGTCCATCATAAGTTAGTCAACAGACTGGCGCCTCTTATGGGCCAGTTACTGGTCAGACTGGTGAAAACAGAAGCCGTGACAAGTGTGCCAGGGCACAAGTGAGTCACCCCATCATGTGAGTTCCCCAGATGGCCAGGAAGACCCACGTTTACCCAATCACTTTGAATAACTTACACATCACATATGTGCCAAATATGTGGTGGGAAGCGAAGCTGGGTGGTGGGAGCTCTGCTCCCCCTCTCCTGTTTCAAGGGGTTGAGGGGCTGATCACCAATACCCCTGGAGTAAGTGCTTGCTGCTCACTGGCACGGGTCTGAGGGGCTCAGGTGTCTGAACTCATGCAAGTCCCGCACCAACCCCCAATGTGGAGCACCTGTGCCCTCCATGGGTTGCCAACAGTGACTCTGAGGCTGAGAGGTAACACATCTTGGCCTCAGTCATGTCGCTAAGATTCGCCAAGCAGAGATTGCACAGCCCACTCCACACTGTCACCTGTTTTCTCCCATGTGTTTCCCACTCAGATTTTTAAACGCATAAAAACCAACCAAGCAAGCAAACAGAAAGAAAAAAAAAAAAACAAGGAACTGCTGGATGTAAAGCCACAGTTAGGGGAGAATGCCAAGGAAAGCAGGATGTGGACCGTCACTGCAGGGACAGACCCCAAGCAAGGCAGTCCAGGTGTCAAGAGGCATCCTTTGTTTTGGGGCTTCCTAGGAACAAGTGAAGAGCTGGATGCCCAGCAGGCCAGGAATGCTGCCAAGCCCTGGCAAGCTGCAGATGCTGGACTCTGAGGCCTGAAGGACTCCCCTCTGGTCAGGCCTCCCCCAATCCTGGCCTCCCTCTGATCTTCCTTTTTTGTGGAAAGGTCTTTTTCAAGGTGGAGATCAAGCTGTCAGCTCCCTGGAATTTCCCTTCCTGCTCCTGTGTTTTGCCTTGCCCCAGCTTGCAAGAGCACAGTCTCCTGGAAAGACTGAATGGCCCAGTTGGAAGCCAGCACTACCTCACAGCCCTGCATCAGACAGTTGAGGCTCCCCAGCAGAGCAGAGGACCACGTCACATCCTCAGAATGCCTGGGACAGGGTCCCCAAGTCCCCTCCATCTACCTGGAGCATTTGCAGTGAATCCACAGGAGTGTAGCAACTGCTTCCCTTGAGGGTGGCACAGCCCAGAGCATGAGGCAATTCCAGCACAGTAAAGAATTGTTAGCAATCATTGGTAAAGAGGCAACCAATACCCAATTATACAAAGCATAATCTATTGATGGGGCCATTTTCGGCCTGCAAAGTATATGTCAGCATCTGTGGGAGGGAAGGATTTAGGGGACATGTGCATAGTAGTAGTTCTGAAAGACATCCAGGCTGGGAAATGGAAAGGCAGAGCCTGTGAGAGTAAAGTGTGTCGAAGGCACAGAAGCAGTCAGGGCTCACTGTCTCTCGGCGTCCTTGAGCCAGGGCCACCAGGATGAGGGGCTCAGGCTTCCTACATCGCCCAAGGGTCCCTGGGCCGGCAGGTGAGACAGCCCCTCCACCTGTTCTCCATGGCCCTCAATCCAAAAGTGGTTCTCACAAAGGATCCTTCACAGATGCCCTGATGCTAGGGAACCCTAACCTTAATGTCAACTCTGAGACACATTGTCCTGCCCTCTCCGCAATAAATCCATTCTTCTCATTGGAATTGGATTACAAAAGAACTGTGCCCATGGGTATAAGCTCTTGAATTTCATCCTGAGACACATGCAACAACCCGTTTGATCACCTTGACTGCTGTCTCCTGGCCTACAGCGTCTGCAGCATCTATCTCCTACGCAGCCCTTTGTAGGAAACGTTTTCCAAACGTAGTCATCCACACCCATGGAGGGCGTGTTCACAACAGGTCTGTGATTGCACTTTTGATTAAAAAAAATATTGGCTGTACATCTAATGTTGAGCATGGGATGGAGCAGACCAAGAAGGCAGGTGAGGGACCGCTGTTTCTTCAGCTGCCTGCCTTCCTCCCCACTGCCGATCCGGAGAGCAGGTGAAGCTGGTGAGGCCGTGGGATGAGCCACAGATGCTGTCCACACACAGGCTGCTAAGGCAGGCAGGCTTCCTCCCAACAGCACTTCCAAGAAGGGAGAGGGTTATGGCTCAAGCCACACCCTCCATTGGATGAAGGAGAGCCTGGCTGTTTGTGCCAGTGCCTTGCCAAGTATGGGTCTTGAACCCCATGCTTCGGGGGTCACCTGACTGAGGCTGTCTGGAGCAGGGTCCTCCTCTCCAGCTTCTCAGGGTGGGAGTAGAGATGGGCAGAGAATCACTGCCCTGTGAGGAGCTAAAAAAGCTCAGCTCAGCTTCAAGCATTCGCACATTGCATCACCTAGAAGAGCCATGGAGGAGTTGTTTGTCCCTAACCTTGGCCTTGGTGGCTACGAGTCTTGAAGACAACACTGATCTTCAGAAGCCATTTTCCAGAACCAGGGAGAAGGTGGGACTTGCAGTGAGAGAGCTGCACACACCGGTGGTGTGGCCCCCTCTGTTGCATTTCTCAAGGTGCAGCCTTCTGAGGGTGGTGCTGGCAACTCTGTGTACATGGGGCGCGGGGAGGGGAGAGGGCACAGGGAATGGGGTCTTCAATCCACATGGCCCTTCCCCACTGCCACCCCCTGAGTTTCCTAAGCCCACGTTTATCCCCGGGCTCTGAAGCCAGCAGATTTCTTAGCCTCCCCTCACCTCCCAGCCCAGGGTTTCTCTTTTTTTCATCACAGCAGCTGCTGCATCCCTGGAGTTTCGACTGGGTAGCAGGGATCCGGCAACCTGTGGTCTCTCTGGATGTCCCCAGCTGCAACAACAAGGCCAGGCGTGGTCCTGCAGGCTTGAAAAACAGGAAGGCAGGAGCAACAAAGCCAACAGCAGGGGTAAATTACCCAGTAGGAAGGCCTGTCTCTTCAGGGCCTCTGCCCGTTGTGGGGGAGGAAGCAGAACTGGAGACCTCTGTTGGCTCCAGATGGAAATTTCCACAGGCAAGGCTCACGTAATTTTGCCACTTGATCCGAGGACAAGCACAGTCCCCAGTATCTGCCTCCAGAGGAAAGGCTGAGAGAGAATCCCCCAGAGTGTGCCTGGCTCAGGACTAGCCCAGGCCCAGCATGCACTTGGGTTCAGGGCCTGTCTGACTCTGGCCCCTTGTTAGAAGCTCTCCTGGGCAGGTCTGTCTCTCTCGTGCCTCAGTACTGCCCAGCTCTGAGAAGCAAGCATCTGCTGGTTTTGCGTGAGCCCTCTCTCCAGGAAGCGCAGAGCCTGTGCAGATGACTGTTTTGAAGGAAGGAGCTGGGAACACAGTTTGCATTCCTAGATGGTGGGCAAGAAAGCAAGCCCCTACCCCTTGGCCCCAGCCAGGCAGGTGCACAGTGCTGCCTTAGAGCTGGCTGGATCATGTGTGCAGTGGCTCACTTCGTTTTACCCTCCCCTCGGTACGGTTTGTGTTTTCCTGGTTACCTTGCTGCTGGAGTCCCTACAGGGCCACCCAGTCAGTCCCCATCTTTTGTACCTGTTGGGTCTGTCAATGTCCAGTTTTTCAGCCAAAGAATCAAAGCACTGGCCACACACACAGATTCCTACACAATGTTAGCCAGGAGCAGAATAGTGGAAAGTTCTGGTTCTATTTATCAGACACCATTGCTATATAAAGACATTTCCTAGTAGGGATCTGTGATGGATTGCTCCACTCCTCTGACAGGCATCTCCTCCAAGAGTAGTTCTGGTGACGCAGGAAGCCTCTGTGCCTGCCCTGCCCTGAGACTGGGGGACAGAAAGCTAGGGTCTCTTATGGTCTCCCGGTGGACTTCCCTCTGCGTCCCTCCTCACTTCCTCCGGCCGGAATTTCAGACACATCTTGCTGGTGACGATCAGGGACCTTAGTGGGGAACCTTCTAGCACCAGGAAATGTCATGGCCAGGCCACAGGCAAGTGATGATGGGATGGGACTCGGCACTCTGGGATCTGGCTATTGCTCAGGGTCATTTTCGCCCTACTCTCCCTGTGGCTTATAGCAAGACTGGCCCAAACCCCGCAAACAAGAGCCTGCTGCCTCGTAAGGGTCCTGGACTCACTGCAGCTTTAAGGGGGAAGGGGTTTGTTGGTCAGAGGGAAGGATGGCTTGCTTTTACAGAATTTGAGTGATGCACTAGAGAAGATAGTAAGGCCAGCTGTGTCCAGAAAAGCAACTCACAAATCTCTCTCATTTAAAACTGACTGCCCTTCCCCAGAAGGACAAGCCACGTTCTAAGACCGCAGGCCACATGCTGCATGCCTCAGAATGAAGTAGGCATTCAGTCTCGACACTTTGGCAGCTCCTAAAGACAGAGCATTCCGGCACTTGCAAAGTTGTGTTCCTGAAGACCTAAAAAATGCTTGGCAGATAAGAATGAACAAACAGTCTTCAGTACCAAGTCCCCAAATTCTCCACACTTCTTTTTAAACTCAAGCTGTTACCATGTTTTTTTTTTAAAAAAAAAAAATCAACCTTTAAAGAATATGTTGGGAAATACTTCAGCTAGGCCACAAAGTGGGGTGCTTTAACACTGTTCAACGTAAGGAGTTAAACATGACCCACCTAGCTGAAGTGCCCTGCGTGTGTGCTTCTCGCCCCAGATAACCACGTCCCTGCGTTTGGCATCAGTCCCATGTTTTGCTTCTCTTACAATGCTTTTGTTTGGCGTGCTTTAGAGCTTCATGTAAACCTCATACTGTTTGCATTCATCTGAGGTTTGCTTTTTCCTCTTGTTCCGTAATCATGGGATTCATCTATGTGGATCTATACACACAGAGACTTACATGTAATAAATTTACATTATTCATACAATGAATACTTATGTGAAAGTTCAGTTAACCTTTCCTAAATATTGCAAGTTGCTCTATAAAGGGATTATGCCAACTTTAATACTCCATATCAATATGTAAAAGCTCTCGTTCCTTCATATCTTTGGCAAATCTTGGTATCATCAGAGTATAATTTTTATGATCTCTTGCGAGAAGGACACCTCATCAAAGTTTGGTTTGCATTTCTGGTTATTAGAGTAAGTTGGCAAGCTATTCCCATCCTTGAGGGATGAGGGCATCTTTCACCCCCTTTTCTGCTAGAAGTTGTCTTAGCTCCTCAGCCTGCTGACGTCTTCATGGGCTCCAAGTGCTGGCCCTCGGCTGTGTGCCCTGTGATTTCTCCCCTCCGTGTGAGTTCTCTTTGCACTTGGTGTGTTCAGGCGCACAGATGTTCAGTTTTCCAAATATCATCAGCTTGGATCAGTCTTTCACTTTTGCTTGCTCCAGAGGCCATCCAAGGAACACTTTCCCACTGCAAGATACCAACTGTCCCCCTCAACAGTTCCATTTTGCATTTCGCGTTCAGCCCCTATAAGTCCTTCTGGGGTTAATGTTTGTCTTTCCTTCATTTGACAAAGCACTGGTTGCAGCACTGTGAACTGACCACTTGTTGTTCCTTCAAGGCCAGTTCTGCCACCTTTTCAGTTCAGTCCATTGTCCGCTGACGGACGGAAACCACCCTCGCACATTCTAGCTTTACAAAAGGTGTTGACGCTCAGCAAAGCAAATTCCTCAGTCTCATCTTTCCTCTAGATGCTTCTGGCCAGTTTTGGCACCAATGCCATCTTTGTTGCTTGGGTCCGCACTCATAACAGGCGATCCAACAACAAGAGTTGAAACAAGCAGAAGGGGGAAAGGAGTCAGAGCCAGCCCTGCATCACCCATGAACTGGATCTTTACCCCTTTGTGCCTGAGGAACTGCTGCAGAGTAACAAGCGTAGCAGATCCAATTGTTTACCAAAAAAACTTGCAAATGTTCTCTGAGCTATGTTGAGGGTCAGTTAAAAATGGAAGCCAGCAGTCATCTGAAGTTAGGGCCCAGTATCCTTTCCCTTTCTGTTAGAAAACATCACTTTAAAATACATTTTTACACACAGGCAGGGATGGAGAGTTTTAGGAAATAGTGCAGAAACTGAGCATTCATTTCCTGGATTCACAGGACAGCCAACCCAAGGTCAGCCAGGCCCTAGAAGCCTCTAGAAGGCAGCAGTCTGACCACGACTGGGCCTCCGGATGAGGTGCCCTGGCTCTCTGAAGGCTGTTTCTTGGGCAGCTTGCCTAACACCACGATTGCCCCCTTGGTCTCCTGCAGTGCCTCCACATTCAGACGCTCCTATATGGACCACACGACAAGAGAACCCTGGCCACCCAGCAGACTGTGGATGTCCTGTCCAAGTGAGTTGGCCACACCTTATTTGCATGGCTTCCTCTGCTGCCACTCAGTTCTGGGGGTGGCTGGTTCTGGAATGCTCTGGGGAAGGCTATACTGACCACCTGTGCAAGGGCATCTTTCCTGCAAACCCAGTTGCAACATCTGGTCCTGGTCAGGAAGTGGGATAAGGAATCTTCTCCCAACATGTAGGTGGCTGTGTCGCACATATCCCTGTACCCACTGATGGGCCTGTGGGAGGTTTACATACCTACTGTAGACCTACCCGGGCTCCTTCCACCCTCAGGTGCTTGTTGGCATGGCAGCTGGACACTTGCTAACCTACCTGCTGGGCTGGCCCCACATCCCTGAACCCAGGCCCAGCACTTCACCGTGTCACAGAGACACCCATGCTCCCCAACCCCATAGATCTTGGCTCTGCCTGAGCCCTAGGGAGAACTGCCGAGTGCATGCCCAGAGCAGTGACCGGCACCGAGACTGGGACCCAGCTGGCAGGGGGCAGGGGAAGCAAAAGCCCAGCATGGCTGACCCCTTTGTTCTGTGCTGCTCAGAGCCAGCTTGAGGTGGTTGTGGGGAGGAAGGTGCCTTAGGCTCCACGCTCTGTGCCCAGGATCCTCCTCTCACTTCCCTCCCACCTTGAGGATCCCCATGAGGCTGACCCCAGCAAGCAAAAGGCTCACCCTCCTCTCCTTGTCTGCAGGGTCCCTGAGGTCGCTGGGAAGTGCAGGCAGACTCCAAAAGCCAAAGTGGCCTTCAACACCAGTGTCCCTCGGTACACCGCGCTGGGGAAGGGCAGACCCAGTGCAGCCAACTGAGACCCCGTCCCCAAGATGGCTCTGGGTGGGCTTGGGTGCTGCCCTTGGAAGGTGGCACCAGATGGGAAATGTGGACTTTGCAGGCCAGCCCTGGGCTCTTGTGCCCCCAGGCCTTTGGTGACCTGAAGCTGCCAGGAGGCATTTCTCTATCATTTCCATTGTCTTTCTGATCAGCAAGGATCTTCGCCCTATCAGCACCACCCAGGCCAGAAGACTTCTCTTCAAAAACTCAGAACTCATGTGCAGGGGAGGTCAGCCTGGCCCTGCGCACGTGGCCACCATGCACAGAGCTGGGGTCGAACTTGGAGGTGCAAGCATGATTTCAGAAGCTTCTTCTCACTGGGAAGGTGTGGTCACTGAGAATAAACAGTTTATGAGAGCCAACGTGCGTGTATTGGCATCATGGCCAGGCCCGTTCTGGGTGCTGTCCCCTCCCAAACTCAGATGAGCACTTTGTCCCCGGTCACCTGGTAACCCCAGGGGCCCTGGGGCTGGGTCCCTGGGCTGGCATTGGTGCCCCTGTAGCAAGAGGGAGGGGTGTGAGCTGGCACAGTCACTGTGTTGCCACGGGTGCCTGCACTGCCCTGGAATCCTGCAGAGTCCCAACCTGCAAGGGGGTCCCAAGCAGGGGTAAAGCTGTGGCCTCGGACCCTGAGCCTCCAGAGTTGAGTGTGCCCTAGTTCTTTATAAATCACGCCATCTGTGCTGTTCCACCCCAGGCCAAGCCAGGGGTCAGCTCTGCAAGGGCAGCCCTCTTCAGAGTTGGCGTCATTCACGGCAGTGTCTTGAGCACCTTGTCTCTACCAGCATGTGCTAAGAACCAGGGCTGCAGCCCCAGGCAGGGCCCACCCAGGCCCCCTCCCCATCCTGTCCAGCAAGGCCCTGGACACGAAACGTGGTTGGGTAGATTTCACAGATGGCAGGATGGGCACTGCAGCCAGGGAGGGGGTCAGCAGTGTGGGTGCTAAGGGGACCTGACACAGGACACGCAGGGGTTGCAGGGGCAGGGGTCATCGTCTGGGCAGCCCAGGAGCTGCAGCCACTGCTGCTGGAGCCAGCATAACACACTGGTGCCATGTGCCCAGGGCCTTCGGCCCCTTGCTGGGCACAAGCAGGTGCTGGGTAGAAGAGGACTGATGCTCAAGTATGGGGTCGGGCGTGGGCAGTAATACCCCTGTCCCTCTGACTTCAGCCTGCAACCTGGCCAGTAAGAGCAAGCCCAAGCCACAGCTGGGGTCCTACATGTGCAGGGTGTCGCCTCAGGAACAGATAAGGAAAATAAACCAGAAGAGCTGTACAGTGGGGAGATGTAGGCGCCCTCCCTGCTCTTCCTCAGGAGGTGTCCGTTGACCAGGCAGGCTGTCCTGCTAACACCCACCAGCCTGAGACATGACAAGTTGTCAAGGGTGTGGCTGTGCAGCTGCTCCCCAAGTGTCCTTTGTGGTTGAAGAAATGGGGCTCCATGCAGCTGACAGACCATCCTGGATCTACTGTGAACTAAATGAGCGCTCTTGGCCATGTTCTGGCACTGGTCCCTCAGGGCAATGTCTGAAGGCAGGCCCTGTGAGAGGTCACTGGGTTGGGAGGCTGGATCCCCCCCGAGTGGGATTGGAGCCTTGTAACAGATGAGATGACTGTCAACCCATGGCCCACTCTTTGGTCTCGCACCGCCTCCCCATCCTCCAGAACTGTGTGAGGTTGATGTGTGTAGCGCGAGTCCCCAGGCTGTGGCACCTCGTCGCAGGAAGGCATAACACACTGGGGTGTTGAAAGGAATGGGAACGGAGGGGTGGGGCACTTCTTCCTCTCTGGGTCTCCCAGGGGATGTTCTGGGATCCCAGAAATGGAACACATTTGTCAAACAGTCCCATTCCTGGGAAAGGGTGAATTCAGGAATGTTCTCCACCCAAGCTCCGTTCCATCCATGGACTTCCCTAGCAGAGGAGGAGGGAAGCACATGCGTTTGTCTTCATGCGCGAAGGCCAACAGGTGAGCCACCCAGCTCCTCCTCCGTCCTCAGCCTCCAGGACGTACACAGGTAACCGAGGGCTCCTGGCTGCCCACTGCTGTTCTCCCGTCATTCCGTGCTCCCATGAGAACATGCACATAAACACACTGAAACACGCATGCAAACACGCTTGCTTTAATCGGGGTTTCAAAGAGAAAGCACGTCAACATCTGCTGGAAAACATTTCATTCTCTTTAGGAACAACGTCAGGGGTTTTATTTCCCCTCTGATTTTTATTGTTATACATTCATGTGACACTTCCCTTAGTAAGGAACAGGAGGTTAGCAAAATCAACTGCTCTGATGATTCCACTCTAAATACACATCAACATATCAAAACAACCAGCAGGAAGTTGCAAACGCTCGGTGGATGCTGCTTTGCCAAAACAGCCCATCTGTGAGGAGGAAAAGACTGGCTGTGTCCCCACCCTGCCTGTGGTGTCACCTGCCACTGTGCCAGTGGCACCCCTGCACCTGGGCGATCCAGACACCATCACCCTAACAGCATGCTACAGGGAGAGGTGCGTTCAACCTCAGAGGTGGAAATTAACATGAGACACTGACTCCCCAGCATGAAGCTGACGAAGGTCATGGAATTAACGACCTGTGGTGCCCCAGCAGCCATTTGCAAGTTTATAGGCTGGGACAGTGCCCTCCAGCTGAGCCCACTTAACACCGCTCACAGATGTCTGTCTCACCATCCAGCAGCAGGCTCTGAGCCTGCCTGAATTCCCACACAGAAGTCACACAAACCTATCACCAGTCACAGCCAGGCTGCAGTTGGCACACCCTGGGCTGTGCTGGAGATGCCAAAGCCCTGCAAAGCAGTCCCCACCACACCATCAAACCCACTGCTCTGTGCGCGGTTCCTATGTGTGGCTTCAGAACCGATCCCTCCCCGCCTCCGTCCCCATGGTCACAATCCTCTCCCATGGGACTGCTCAGTGTTCCAGGACACTGTGTTAGGGAAGCACAGCTCAGACACCACCGTGTGAGAAGCTGGTCAGCTACAGCTACTGTTTGTATGTGAACATAGGCTTTTAAAGACGGAAACTGCAAATACCACTGGTGCGCAAAAAGCAGATGCAACTGCAGACACTCGCCTTCTATCTCAAAGTGGGTGGTATGCAACTGCAGGTCCCCATCCCGTGGCCTGTGAGGGTAGGGCCATCCTCCTCCACCACGGCCCATCCCGGGTACCCAGCACCAGGTTGCAGCAGGGGCACCCTGTTCCTTTCCAAAGCATCTTATTCTAGTTCTCTGGACAATGTGCCCCAACAGCAGCGATTGCTACTGAAAGTGCCTGAAGCTTCCTGGAGGGTTTGTTAAACGGCTGTTGCTTCCTGTCTCTTCTGGAGCTCAGAGACCTTCCCTTGGGGCCGTGGGTTGAGAAGCGTTTTGACAGGACAGGCTCCTCGCCTTTCCCACTTCCAGCCACGTTGACGGTCTATGCCATGATCTGGGGGGGTCAACATCGTGTCCTCAGGTCTCCCTTGTCCCACCCAGGAAGCCTGGCGATACGGAGCCAGGGTCTACGGTACACAGCAGCTCCAGCTCACACCTGGATAGGACCTGGCTCACCCAGACCTCGGGTCACCACAGACTGTGGGTGCTGCCACCTCACCACCTGGGATGGCAGAAACAATACAAAAAAAGGAATGGGATGCCAGTGGGTCCCAGTGCCCTTGTCCCCTACTCCTGAGTTCAGCACAGGAGACCTGTGCAAACAGCATGTATGGTCTGAAATATCCCCGCTGACTACAGCCGGTCCCTCTGTAAATAAGGCACCATTTCTGTATCTTTCACATAGAAAGTAAATTACGTCTCAAGCGACTCTTTGGTTAAAGATGAAGTAATTCAGCCTTTTTTTTTTTTAAGCACAAGCAGGCTGCTGATTTTCTATGATTGCTTTTTGGAAGCCTTTGGGAAGAGAAAAGCCATAATTTTTCCCTGAATATATTAGTTTGTTATTGATATTAGCACATGCACACAGCACACAATACTCTTGAACAAGTTAACTTAAACCGGGTTAGCATTTAGGCATCTCGCCAAGGGATGACTGACCAGCGTTTCGAACAGATACCACCCGTATCTGTAACCAGGTACAAAATAACAGACATGTTCTCCAGAGGGCCCAGGAGACTCCTCAGGAGCCTTCGGAAAAGGAGCTGTTGAAGGTTACAAGGGTTACAAAGTGCTCTGTAAATGCCCAGCTCCTACGTGCAATTCCAGCACCTGAAAGGATGCAATTCCGACCCCTGCAGAAAACTGCCACTGTGTGCAATGCTCCTCCACGGAAGGACCCCACGCTGCCCAGGTGAGCAGCAGCCTGTATGCGTGCTGCCATGGCCAAGCTGCCACCCACGCAAAATACCTCTGCTCCTCAAAACCAGTGTCCGTCTCCGTCCTCCTCCTCCTCGTTGTCTAGATAGAGGAGGGCGACTTTCTTTTCGTCTGAGACCACCGACCTCTGGTCCACCATCCTTTGCAGCTGCACCGTCCTATCCAACCCGGCCCGCTCCTCGCCCTTCTCGCCGCCAGCGTCTGTCCAGGCGCCTCGGGCCTCTGTGCCCGCCTCTACATCACTCACAGCCATCTGAAAGGTAAAGGAGGTCTCCCTAGGCCCCCGCGCCACGGGACTGCCATCTGCCGCCTGGCCCGGCTCAGGAGCGCCAGCTGAGCCTACTAGGGCAAAGGTTTTGGTCACAGGGGCGTGGACAACAAAGTGTCCCAGGCCTTGAGTCTCCGTGGGACCCAGCTGAATGTGCCTAAAGGACCGGCTGAGGCTGGTGGTCCCTCCTGCCCCCGCCGGGTCCCCCTCCCCATCCACCATGCCATGGAAGATGCTCTTCTCGGTCACACGGACCGTTCTGGCCTCACTGTGGACCACCCTCTCTGAATCACTCAGCTCCCCTGACCCAGGCCCCAGCCCCTCGAAGACCACCTGCCCGCTGGTCTGCGGCCCGAGGCGGATGTGCCTCACGGCTGTGCTGACCCCCAAGCCCTCCTCCTGAGGATGCTCAGAGTCTCCCTGCAGGCTCAGCCCACTGTGCTCTGAGAAAGGCACCGTGAACTCGATGGGCCCGCGGGGCCCTTCCTTAGGGGCCAACTGCAGGTGCCTTACAGAGGTCTGGATACCCTCTTGGCCTGCCCCAGCCCCGGCCCCGGGCCCCTGCACCGTCACTTCCTTCTCGGCACGGAACTGCTGGTTCAGTCCATCCGTATCTCCAGGCAGCTCTTCTGTGCCCACAGCCTGCTGCCAGGCGGGGCTGGGGCTGCGGAAGACGACTTCTTGGAACACTTGGCTTTGCTGGGAACCCAAGGTGACGTGCCTCATGGAGCGGCTGGTCCCTGCCTGACTCGGGCCCAGGCCGCCCTCCACACTTACCTCCCCGGCTCCAGCAGCGGCTCCCACGCTCGACGCGCTCTCAGTCCTCCAGATGCTGCCAGGGCCCAGCTGCACGCGCCGCTTGGACAAATTCACGTCCTCCAACACGGGCGACTGGGCCAGGCCTGTGGGGCCGCTGACCTCCACAGTGGCCGACACGGGGCCTGGGGAGGCCGGCAGCTCTGGCCCAGCATCTGCCCCATCCTCAGAAGGGCTGTAGAGTTCCCTAGTGGCCCAGCGCTTGAAGCGGAAGCTGGCAGCGGGGGCCTCGGCACCATCATCTGCCTCTGGGCTGCCTGGGGCACGGCCGCGGTGCCCGGCTAAGCTCTGCCGCACCACTGACTCCACGGCCTTCTCAATCTCCCCAGCGTCATCTTTGCTCAGCTCCTCCAGGTCCAGCTGATCGGCATCCACGGTCTGGGAGAGGTTGACCTTGGCGAGCAAGGTCACGGAGCCACCACTGGCGGCCCGCAGCTTCGTGACGTCCACCGAGACACTGCCTGGGTCTCCCGGGCCCTCCCGGGTCAGGGCCGACAGCTCCTCCCTCATGCGTGCTGGGAGGGTCTCCTCCAGCTGCCCGATCACCTCAGCCATCTGGTCACGCGGCTCCTTGGAGACGCCCTGGATGGAGGTGCGGAACTCCTGCGGGACCCTGATCTCTTTCTCAATGACCGTGGGCTCCACGCGCAACTCGCCACTGGCCTGCTCCCTCCAGTGAACGGATGCCACGTCCCCCTCCGAGGTAGCCACGGGGACATCCAGAGCCTGCACAACCTTCTCCCCGCCGGCCTCGTCCCTCGGTCTCCGCCTGCGTGTGCCCTGTGCGATCTCATCCTGCCATGAGTACCGGATGCTGGACTGCTCCTCGATGTGGATCTGCCCGTACACTGAGCCATCGTCTTCGTCCTGAGCCCCAGGCTGCTCGTCCGGGGTGGACACGAAATAGCTCTGCTCCCCTTCCGAGTCACCTGACTCTGTCACCTCTTCCACTCGGGTTCTGTTTTGACGCCCATGGGCTGAGAACATGACATCACCATCTGCGTCCCCCTCCTCTTCCTCCACAAGCCTCTGGGGGCCTGGAACCTCATCATCCACCTCCTCTACCCGGAAGGGAGTGGGCGGCTCTCCCACTTTCCTCTCCCCCACGTAGCCCGTGGGCTCCTCCACGATCTCCACGTTGAGCACCTTGGCTCTCCCGCCCCTGCCCTTCAGTCCCAGGTCGATGATGTCACCAATCAGCCGCTCTGCCGACTTGCCCTGCAGGCTCACGTCGTCCCCCGCACCCTGGCCCAAGAGGGTCTCCAAACCGGCCTCATCCGAAACGTCCACAGCCTGTGTGAGCCTCGATTCCACCACGATCTCGGTCTTTGTCCTCCCAGCCCCGGGCAGCTCTTTCCTGTCCATGTAGGTGACCTTTGTGTCAGGCAGAGCGTGGGTGGATGGCTCGGCATCGGGAGCCTGGGTGAACTGCTTGAGGATGCTGGTCACGATATTCTGAGCCACCGTCTCTGTGGGGGACCCGCTACGCGGAGAGCTGCGGGCGTCTCCGGGGCCCAGCCTCAACCCTGGCTCTCTCGTGCCCACCTCCCCACCGCTACTGCCCCCTGCTTCCTTTGTGCCTGGCAAACCCTTGGGGGACACCTCTGGCCTCACAGCCCGGGATTCCTGTAGACTAATGGAAACCTCTCGAGCACGCATGCTGCTTCCCTTGGAGGACTCCCTTGCTCCAGCTTTTTCTGTCATCTGCTGGCTTTCTCTCTCCCTTGCTTCCTTGTCAAGCTTGGTCAGCTCTTCCCACCTCAAGTTCCTCTCCTCTGAGGCCTTCTCCTTAGAATCAAACATCTTCTCCACTGGCTGTGGTCGGATGGCTCCCGGCCTGCTCCTTTCCCGTTCCCCCGTGGCCTTCGCTTCTGTCTTCCTTCCCACAAGGATGGTCCTGTCCTTTGGCCCTGCGCCGTCAGAGCCACGTGCCACCACATCGTCCCGCCGTTCCCAGTGTGACTCCAGGATGCTGGTGGACCCCTTGGCCAGGTAAGTGGGAGCATCGCTGGCCCCTTCAGGTTTCGGTCTGTCAGGGAGGGTTTTCACTCGGGCACTGGTGCCTCCGAAAAGCCCAAAGCCGTTCTGACCCTCAAAAGTCTTCCCATAAGAGTACTCCCGCTGGGTGGTGGCCACGGACGAGTACCCGGAGCCCGCAGGGCCTCTGCCCGCAGTGCCTGTGCTAAGTGAGGTGGTCTTTGGCCGTAGGTGCCCAGGCAGGTGAGAATCCAGGGCCGCCTTCTGCCTGGCAAACAGGTTGTGTTCATTCTCCCTCTGCACCAGCGAGTCAGTGCAGCGGTAGGTCGTGCTCTTGAGCTCTGTGGGAAAGGAACAGACCATCCTTTAAGACAGCAGACACTTTCCTGCCTTGGTGCCAGTCGCAGCCTAACAGATACATACCCTTGGCACACCAGGGTCCCCCCGCCCCGTCAACCATCCTCCATCCATCCATCCTCAGACTCTTTACCCACCCTGAACCATGAGATGCAGTGCTGCCAACACGAACACGGTACCCCAGGTGCCAGTCTTCGAGTGTGCGCTCACCTGCACAGAACTGCCTCAAACGGCCAGCACACCCACAACACTACGTCTTGGAGTCATCTGCCTCTCCTTGCTTGAGAGAAATTCCCTTTGCTTGCTTCAGAGGATGAGCAATCTACATCGTTGCCCGGTTCCCAAGGGCAAAGCCCGCCGCTGTGTAATATGTTCTCGTCTAGCCCTGTTCCTGAGCCCACAAGGGATTAAGGATTTACCTTCCTTATTCCTGGTTTCTTCTTTTTTCTTCTTCTTTTTCTTTTTCAGAGTAAAGCAGTCAAACTGCCATGCTGTCACCTATCCTCATGTCACAATCCTAGGTTTGGAGGCAACCCTGGAGGAGGCGGGCTTTGCTCTGGCAAACACACACAGTGCTGCCCCCTGGTGCTGCTGTCAGCATCACAGCAGCAGTGGCCATGATAACCTGGTAGGGGACACCTGCGGCCCACCTGCAGGGCCCCAGTTCAGCTTCCTGCCAGTGCAGACACTGCAAGGAAGGAGTGATAACTCAAGTCACTGGCTCTTGCCATCCACGTGGGAAACTGGGGTTGAACTCCTGGTTTAGCATCAGCCCTATCCCAGAGCTGTGGATGTGACACGTCTCTCTTGCTCTCTTTCTCCTTCTGTGGCCAGGGGCTGGTGTTGTTATGAATGCTAGTTTGAGTCCGGGTTGCTCCACTTCCAGTCCAGCTCCCTGCTGGTGTACCTGGTAGAGAAGTGGAGGACGGCCAAGGTGCTTGGGGCCCTGCCAGCTCTGTGGGAGATCTGGATGAAGCCCTAGGCGCTTGGCTTCAGGCTAGCTAAGCCCTGACCATTGGGACCATGTGGGGAGTGAACCAACAGGCTGATCTCTCTCTTCCTCCTCTCTGTGGCTTTGTCTCTCTCAAAAAAAAAAAGTTTTAAAAATACAATAAAATTTATATTTTAAAAAGGTGGCCAGCAACACCCTCCATCCTGAGAGTGTCCCTCCTTGTCTGTTTTGGAGTCCTCCGTCTCTCCTTGGCTGAGAGAGCTCAGGCCCTCCTACAGCAGCCGCCATCAAAAGCCTCCTCCTCACAGACCCCCAAAGTCAGGGAAGAGCCAGAGCAGGCACGTCCATGGCAAGGCCTCCCGCAGGTCCATACACCGAAACATCTTCAAGGCGAAAGTGCACAGACCTCTTGGTGCTTCATGCAGGAGCCACAAGAAACACAAGGGGTCATGGACTACTTGGAACCTGGCAGCTCTGGGGCCTGCCGCACCCCCAAACAGCAGCAAACAGTCACCCGGACCTTGCAGGACACAGGCCTAAGTGGGAAGCCAGCAGCCAACAAGGTCCCAACGAGTGACATTTAGCTCAAAGCTCACTTCCTTTTAACAATATGTATGGGGTCCGGCCGTGTGGCCTAGCAGCTAAAGTCCTCGCTTTGAATGCGCCAGGATCCCATATAGGCACCGGTTTTAATCCCGGCAGCTCCACTTCCCATCCAGCTCCCTACTTGTGGCCTGGGAAAGCAGTCGAGGACGGCCCAAAGCTTTGGGACCCTGCATCCGTGTGGGATACCCGGAAGAAGTTCCTGGATCCTGGCTTCAGATCGGCATAGCATCGGCCATTGCGCTCACTTGGGGAGTGAATCATCGGACGGAAGATCTTCCTCTCTGTCTCTCCTCCTCTCTGTATATCTGACTTTCCAATAAATAAAACTTTAAAAAAAAAAACATGTATGGTTGTTAAAATAAGTCTCACTTACACATTTTTAAGTCTCAGCCTGGAAACCAGTGAATGAATGAAACCATCAACAGAGACCCTTTGTCCTGCATTCTGCTTGGTTCTAGAGTCCTGGCCAGCAGCCACCATCATGTGTTAAGGCCCGGGTTCAAGTCCGCTTCCAATCCAACTTCCTGTCCCCAAAAGTAGGCCACTAAGCAAACCGTGGAGCCTGGGGAGTAATCCTTATTTTATTGATGCTGTGTGTTAACCACTGTCAGGCAGGCCGGCTACCCACGGCCACTTACGTGGATGTCTGTGCTGTTTTCCCACCTCAGTCTCCAAGTTGGAATGTACACCTGCCACGTCACCTGAGGCTAGGTCCCTTCAGGTCAAGGGTGGTTAAAGCTGACATGACTGCTCGAGACCGCAGTGCCCAAGCTCCCCTTGAGGATTCTGCAGTTGGCCTGCCCCTGTGCACAAGGTCTCACACATACACTGTCACACTCCAGCCTGGAAAGGGAAGGTGTGTCCCCTGCCAGGACGGCATGCCCATCTCTACACTTGTCTCCTCCACCTGCCTACTGCCTGTTACCCCATCCGCTCCCTGCCCCTCACCATGCTGGCTGGGAAGCACTCCCCAGGCCTGTGCTGCATAAACTAATGCCTCCATCAGGTGCGTCCCCGCCTTCTGCCTCAGCAGGAACCACGTCACGTTGGACTTACTTGGCACCAGACAGAGAGATGCCCTCCCACTTCCTGAAACACGCATCTCACTCGACTGTCACAGGGAAGTGTCACGTGGCTATCTACCACAGGAAGCCCATCTCAGAGCCGAATCCTTCACTCTCCGGTTTACCTGGCAGTGTGCTTTCAACGTGCTTGGTCCAGATCAGGATCTCCGGGTTGCTTTCGCCCTCCAACAAAGCCCTGTAAAAGATGGCCTTTTAGGAAACACAAGTACAGAAAGCACTTCCCATAACATGTGTCACGTGGCCAGGGCCAGTGGGGGCCGTGCCCTGGGGGGCATCCAACCAGGGCTACAGTGTGCCAGTGTCCGCTGCTCCGCTCCCTGGCGCCCATGCGCCACCTGCCACCTGCTGGATGCTTGACCCGTGGCTGCTAAATACTCAGAACGAGCAGGCAGGGCTTCCCAAGGCTCTCTCCTTGCCAAGCCAAGGCATGGAGGAGTGCACATAAGACAACACCAGAGACGGGGAAGGGGAGGGTCATGCCCAGCACATGGATCACCTGGGCAAGGGGGGCCCACGACAGACCCGAGCCTCAGGGGTCTTCCTGGATTCGCAGGAACAGGCAGCCTGCAGTAGGCTGCCCAGGAGCACAGCAAGGACTGGCTCTTGTGCATGAAAGCAGCCAGCCTGCACCTGTGGATCTCACATGGGTTCCACGGGGCCTCCTGGGAGATGAAAGAGGACACGGAAGAGGGACAGGCACAGACAGGAAAAATAGCCGTAGCACTGCCCAGAGGCCCCACTCCACCCCCTGTCCCCTTAAGCAAAATGTGACCGGATAGTTTCTTTGGCTCTGTCTAGCTCTGAAATTCTAGAAGCCTAGAGTCTTTGTGAAGCTGCCATTCACATCTACATCTGGCGGCCCGGGCACCGAGCCTCCAGCGGGCTTACTGGCAGAGGTCAGCACCAAGGTGCCAAGCAGAGACCCCTCAAGGCTGCAGGCAGTCATGGGCACAACAGTTGTAAGAGCTGTGTATACAGTCACCAAATCCCTGTTCCCAGGGGTGGACTCAGCCCACCTCGGCAATACCAAGGGAGCTGCCGACAGCTGTGTTCAGGGACAGGGGAGAGTCCGGCTTCCCGCCCACTGAGTCAGCAAAGGAGGCTTGAGGGAGTTTGGGAGGAGTCTGCGGGTGGGTCTGCCGTGGAGGCAGTGGCATACACATGCTCACATGCACGCACACGTGGGGCGCCACGGGAAACCCGGGGGCCAGAGGCCAGAGCACAGTTCTCTCATGGGGTGTGAGCCAAGAAACAGGAAACAGGATACTGGTCCATGGTCCACACCCACATGACCAAGCACTTTAGGTTCCAGCAAACACACACACAGGCTTCTGTGGCCCAGAAAACCCTGCAGCCTGTGTGTCAGAGAAGCATCGGGGGTAAAAGCCCGGCTCCAAAGGGCTGCACCCTGGATGAGAGCAGCAGAGGGGAGACCCTGTCCTTGTTCAGCACCCCTCAGATGGCTCAGCAGCAGGCTGTGGACCCAAGGCCTTGGTACTTGGCTCCTGGCAGGGGAGGGTCCAGATAAAGAGCCCTGGGCCAGGAGGCTAAGTGTTTCCCATGTCCCCTCCCAGCAAAGCCTCACCAGAAGAGACCTGAACCTGGGAGACTGGGGCTCCCAGGCCTCCCCGGCCAGGCTGCCGGTCCCTGCCAGGGCTGAGTTGGCGGCATCTGAGAGACTCCACAAGTACGCACCTGACTCAGAGGTGTGTGCCATTGTGCTGCCTGGCAGGTGCATGGCTCCTAGCAACGAGTGTGATGCTCCTGCTATGGAGGGGCTGCCTGCCAGAAAGCGAGGCATGCATCACCTGCTCCTCCTAGGGCCTGGGATACTCAGTGGGGCACTGGCCACCACACTCCCACCTCAGGGGCATGCCCAGCGACCCACGCTGCATGTGGTGAGAAACACAGGAGGCCAAAGAGGGCTCCTCTAAAGCTGTCCAAGGAACAGCTGAAGGACACAGCACATGCAACGTTAAGTAACGGGAGAGCAGTCTCTGCCACCTGATCAAACCTGTCCATGCCAAGCCATGAGCAGAAAACCACCTACAGGCCCTGGGGATGCCCAGGGGCCAGCCTCAACTTTTGGCTCTCCCTCTTTCACAGCTGAGTCTTCAGGAAGATGGGTCACCGCACTGAGGAAGCCCAGCCTGGTGTGGTAGGGAGTCTCTGGCCAGACCCGAGACCCACCACAGGGCTGGGATAGCTGACCCCATAGGGTCACATGGCTGCCTTCACCTCTGTGGGCACTATGTGGACACACTGTGTGTACACCACATATGGGAGCAAAGGACGACAGATAACCAGAGGATAATTCCAGAAGCAACATGCAGGTGGAGCTTGCATGGGCCTGGGGTCTGGGGATGGTCCATGGGACCCTCCTCCCCAAAACAGGCGCAGAGCTGGAGAAGAAAGGGACTGGGGTCCTCAGAGTGTGAGACAAGAACATCAGAGCTGCCTTGTCCACCTGCTCCTCATGCCCTACAGAGTGGGCAGGCACTGCCTGGAACACCCTAGATGTGGGGCCATGACTCAGGGTCCCTGGGAAATCTGCTTTGTGCCCACAAGGAGCAGAGTGGGCTGGATGGGAGATGGTGGGGTTACACCACCTGGCTTTCTCTCTGTGAAGGCTGATGGCACAGAGGCCACAGTGCCCGGCTGATCCCAGGTCAGTCCTGGAGACTGGAGTCAGAGGTTCTGTAGGGGTAGAGAAAACAGGGGCATCGGGCGTGACCTCCAACTCTGCTTCTGCACCTGGAATTGGGGCCCAAGGCTGCGATCCACTCTCCCCCAGAGCTGCAGTACAGACGTTCAGGACGCGTGCCACATCCATCACCCCCACCACCTCCTCCTATGGCCCCAAATGAGAACAGCTGCTTACCCAGCATGCACTGGTCACACTGAGCCTTACCGTTCACTGAACATCACCCTTTCATTTGGCTGGCACTCAGAAGAATTAGCTAAGCCTCTGCATTACGTATTCTCAAAATGACAAGATTCGAGTAATTCCAAATATCCCGCCCAGCAAGCAGATAAGTCTTGGGGTTAACATATTTCAATGAGTCTTTAAAAAAATTAGATTTAACTTACAAAAGAAAAAAGCACTTCTCTAAAAGGCCAAGAAAGTCCTGAGCGCTGCTGTCCTTTGAACTCACTGATAAAGGGTATAGCTCTCATCAGCTGCTGGAAATGATGGTTGAGCTGCCCTTGCCTCCGATCCCACGCACACCAAAAATATCTGGGAAAGGTGGGGCTGCTGTTGTGTATTAAGCTGCTGCCTGTGGCCCCAGCATCCCATACAAAATCTGGTTCATGTCACGGCAGCTCCACTTTCAATCTAGCTCCCTGCTTATGGCCTGGAAAAACGGCACAGGATGACCCCAGTGTCCGAGTCCCTGTATTCATGTGCGAGACCCAGGGGATACTCTAGACTTTGGCATGGCCCAGTCCTTGTGGCCATTGTGGCCATTTGAGGAGCAGATGGAAGATGTCCCTCCCTTCTCCGTTTCTACCTCTCTCTCCAATTCTGCCTTTCCACTCAATAACAACAACAACAAACAATAACAACAACAACAAAAGCCTATAATATATCAGTGGGGTGGGGGGCAATTGCAGCAAGTACCAAAGAACAAAACTTGAACTTGTCATGTGCCAAGCATCATTCTGAACCCACGGGGCTGAAGCAAGTGGGACCCATGAGCTGTCCCAGCGACTCAGGCCTGAGACTGTCCTGCCACTGCTCTTGGTATCCTGGCATGGCAGGTGAGGCCTCTAGTGGCCATGTCCAGACTTGTGTCCTTGTGACTGTCTCCTAGACAATTCAGGGTCCTGCCACACATGCAGTGCTTAGACAATGTAAGGTATGTGGGGGCCCGAGAGAGCCTCGGGGATCTCTGCTTGGCACCCTGGTGCTGACCCCTGCCAGCAAGCCTGCTGGAGACTCAGCATATGGGGTCCATGCAAGGACTATGCCCATTCTACAGGCGGGACCTGCACACCTGCAGCCACTGGTACCCAGCGCTGCTGGAACCCACGCCCTCGGACAGGAGGGCACGACAGGCTGAACACTGGGGCTTTGGCCGCACCCCTCCTAGTGGGAGGGACGTCTGGATTGCGCCCCTCCAGACTCCCAAGCAGTCCTTTCCAGGAAGCTGCTTGGTGGAGAGGGCTCTGCCTGAATTCCTTTGGCCTAGAACACTGGGTCAAGCAGCCCATGGTGCTTGGCTCATGGCCAGTGAGCTTACCCCATCACAGCTGGGTTCACTGAGGCTGCCCCCGCCCCAGTATTGAGCCCCAGAAATCCCACAACCCTCCTGTGGCCTCCCCTCCCTCACCCACACATACCAGGCCCTCCTGCTCCTGGGTCTGCCTTCATGCCTCCCACCCTCACCATCCTTGCCACCCCTCCTTGTCTGCCCCTTCTTCCTTCTCCTGCATCCTGCCCTCTTCCAAGACCCGATCAGCCACCTCCCCTCCCTCTGGGAGCCCTCCCCGGTCATCCACTCCACCCTGATCCCTGGCAACCTTGCACTGAGGCACCCTTTACAGTACTTCCTGTTCCCCACCATGCTGGCTGCTATTGCATCTACACCACCTTACCGCAGAATGCATCTCGCTGGCCGAACCCCTGCAGTCCCCGCTGAGCCTAGCATCACACCCGGCACCCTGAGGGTACAGACCCCAGTTCACAAAGCACTCCCAGCTCTTGCTCATCCATCACACACAGCCTTCCATAAGTGCTGCCCCACCTCTCCACAAAACCAAGCTACCCAGGAACACACAAAAAGCTGAGCAGAACCCCAAATGTCATCCTAGCTTAAGCCTCAACTCTTCACCCAGGCTGTTCCCTCTAACTCCAATTCTCTTCCCACAAGACTCAAGCATCACCTCCTCCAGGAGGCCCTCTCTGGATGCCTCATTGGCCTCTCACCATAAGCAGCACATCATCAGCATCATAATCATCCTAAAAATGAAGACAAGAGCCACGCCTCTACCACCGTCTGCCCACAGCAACCCAGTAGAGCCGACACTTTTCTAACTCCAGCATGGACTAAAACTTGAGGTTACAAACCTCAGGATCCAATCTCGGGCTCTGTTCTGAGATCCCACTGTGGTGGCTCGCCTCTTTGGGTAAAGCTCTGGAGACAGGGAACACTGCCTGCAAAGTCCTAGGACATGGCAGGTGCCGAGCCTAAGCAGGGTGCCCTGGACTGCACCTGCGAGCAGATGGCCGGGGGTGCAAACAACCTGGTGAGACCCGACCCGCACCTCATCAGACCCTCGCAGGGTTTTTGGGTTCTCCAGGCAATGCCCAGGTACGGGCCCTGCTGAGAACCACCCCGATCCTGTATTTGAGCTTCTCCCCTGTAACCACTCTGCTGCCCCAGGGAACAAATACACTTCAGGAAAACCTCAAGAGCACCTGCAGCTTGCACAGTCACCAGGGGGGTGGAGAAGGGGGTCTGAGGGCCACAGGCAGGTGCAAACCTCTGTGCAGTGCATGCCACCCCCTCTCTGGGAATCACAACCCCACGGGTAGCCCTACAGTAACGGCCACCTGCAGAGTGCCAAGGACTCACCCTCAAACCCACCTGCCAGGCCAGGCACCAGCCACTTCCCAGCCAAAGAACAATGGGATGATGAAGACTTCCAGCTCCAGACCCTTTGAAGCTTGTTTTATTAGTTTATGTTTATTTTATTAAATCACAGATTCACTGATGAATGACAGGTTTGTATTTGGAAACTGTAAACACGTGACATAATCGTAAGACCCTCTTCTTGTTTCTCCTGTCCTGTGAGGGTCTCAGAAGGGTCGGGGGAGCTGGCCAGCCTGACCACCACAGGCAAATTCCCACAAAATGTACACTAAACATCAGGCCACAGCCACTGCCCTCCCATGAGAGCTTCAACTCCCAGGCTGCACAGCGGGAGGACCATCAGCTATGCCCCTTGGGAAGATCCTAGGAAAGTCAGTGGGAAGCAACAGCAGGAGCAACGCCAATGCCAACTCCTCTGCCCCACAGTCCAGGAGTCAGGCTTGAAGAGCAACAGGGCACTGACACGTGTCCCACGAACTGGAGTAGCAGCAGACTTCTAAACACCCTACAGGGTAAACGGGCTAATCTAGAGGACACTCAGAAGTGGATGAGGAAGATTGCTGAGCTTTGGTCTATAGGCAGGAACGGGGCAGAGTTCCAGCACTGCGGTACGTCCCAGCCACGTCCCAGCTGTGTCATTCCTGCAAGGTACCTAGCAAAGCAGCAGAAGTGGCCTGAGTGCCTGGGTCTCTGGCACCCACATGGGTGGCCTAGATGGAGTACGTGGCTGCTGGCTGTGACCTGGCCTGGCTCTGGGTATTGTGGCCACTTGAGGAGTTAGTCAACAGATGGAATCTCTCCTTGCCTCTCTCTCTTCCATGGGTTCATCCCAGACCTACCATAGTGCTGGGAGGCAGTGGTACCCAAGATGGTATGGCAGCGGTACCCACAGCGGCCCCAGGCCTCCTGGCAGGCTACCTTGTGCGTCCTGTGCAAACTTGCAGAGCAGAAAGAGGCACCACGAGACCAACCCCTTGCTCCCCATTAAGCACCGTGCTCTCTGAAACTCCTAGGTGATAGCCAAGGCAGCCAGTAACTGGGTTAGGGAAATGCCAGCAATGCACTAACGCAATTAATTCCATCCCCTCTGAGAGGCAGGCTGCAGATGCTGGGCAGGCCAGGCTTGTGATCAATGCCCTCCAGAAAGCTGGGCAGGGAGGGCAGGGAGTGGGTGCCCCCTAGCACAGAGGCAGGCCCCAGTTGGGAGATGGATAGCTACTCACATAGGCACTCCGTTGTTCCAGGACCAAGATGGAGGCAGTCCAGAACAAAGGAGACAAGAGCTCAGACCACAGAGTTGAAGCCTGGAGCCACCACCTCCCATGCCAGCCCCGACAGCAGCTTCAGCAAGCAAGTGGCAGCACACATCTGATGTCACGGTCACACAGCACGCATGGGGACGTGCATTTAAGAGGCTGGCTGCGTGATCTGGGCTCACTCCAGCCAGCCCACCCCACATGACTGGTGGCAGACCAGCCCAGCACTTTGTCTCCCAAAGACAGGGGCACAGGCCAGAGCCTGCGAGCCAGGCCTTGGGGACCAGGCCCCCTCTTTTAACTAACAACATGGGCCTGGGAGGCCATAGAGCTGCTGGGGATGCATGCTACCATGGACAGAGCCAGGGCGCAGTCAAGGTCACAGACCCGGACAGGCGGCTGTCTTCCCTCTCTCTGAGCCTGACCACTGGTCCTGTCTGCAGGACTCGGCTGTGGTAGGGGTTTCAGAGGGACATCCAGCACAGCCCCCACTGGTTTGACCCCAGGATTTACCCCTCAGAGGCTCCTCCAGGAACTGCTGTGGGCAGCCTCCGTGGGCAGGGCCCTCCTCCCAGAGGGCAGCAAGGGCCATGACGAAGGCTGAGGGCTCAGACTTGTAAGACTGGGAGGCCAAGGCTGTGGTGGGCATGGCAAGGGTCCCACCCCAGCCAAAGCAACCCAGGCTACAGGACATTCCTAAAGCTGACAGCACAGCCAGACCACAGCAAAGGCAGCCATGGGACCTGGCCATCTGGGCCTCTCCTGGGCTTCAGCAGGCTTCCCTCCCCCAGACCATGCACTCTGCCTGGCTTCAACTCCACCTCTAAGGCCGTCCCCAGCACTCACTCACTCACAGGATCAGGCTGTGCCCTCCACAGGTCAGCAGCAGAAGGGGCGTCATGTCAGCCTCCCACACCTGGCAAGGCACAGCCCTGAGCCTCTGGCCTCTGGGTCCCACCTGGAAGGTGGGCCAGTGGTCTGCAGGGAGTAGAGAACACTGCCATAGACTTAGCACTGTGTCTGGTAGGCAGGCAGAGCCCTTCCGAGTGGCTGATGTCATAGTGCAGCAAGCCGCCAGGAAGTGAGAGGCACTGTGCCCCGGGTGCAGGGGTCATCATGGCAGTACTTAGATGAGCCACTCTGCTAGCCCCGTAGGCCACCCAGCAACACCTGGCAGCCTTTTCCTCCACCCCACCCCACCCATCCCTTCTGTTGAACTGGAATAAACATCTCTTCCATAAACAAAGCCGCTGCCTGAGGGAGCCACACTCATTTCATCTCTCAGCAGAGAGCAGCCCCAATGGAGCCTGGGATCGATTGGACACAACAGAGCATGAGCAGATGCACTGGGCTTTCCCGGCTGCGTCTCTGAGCAACGTGCGTTCACTCGGGCAAACCAGGTCCCTAACTGCTACAGCTCAGGAGCCCGGGAGCAGGAACCAGGGGAAGGGCAGGGCTCTTTCTCCTTGCCTGGCCACACCCAGCACCGCTCTCTGCTGGTCATGACACAGGGGCCCCTTGGCTGACTTGATCGGGCAGACCCAGCCCAGCATCCTTACCTGTAAGTCGCCACCTCAAGGCTAAGGCCAGTCTTGACCTGCACAAGGTCCTGATAGTCCCGAAGCCGGTCAGCCATGGCCAAGGTGAGGGCCGCCTTCTCATCCTCCAGGCAGTCGATCATTCTCTATAAACAACAGAAGGATCTCAAGGTCAGAGAAGGGGAGCTGCACTGGGTCAGACACAAGGCACCTGCAGCCAAGAGCATACAGTGCAAGGGGATGCCGCCAGGCTTATGAACTGCACGGTGGCGGCTTCATACAGCCCACACAGCACACGCCTGCTGACCCAAATTCATAAGACAATCGAGATGACCGCCCCCATCCTCAACTTGATATTGACATTGACAGTATCTGCTCATGAATGCATACAAAGGCTTCACTTGAGCCATTGTAGAGTTTGGCATTTTCTTTCTAGCAGTCCCACCGCCCCGTCACTCTGGGGATCAGTTAACCAACATCACACTGAAAGGCAGAGGCAGGTCCTGTCACGGAAAGCAGCCTTATTCCCAGCATCATCACCAACAAGAAGCTACACTCGCAGACAGGTAACATTTCAGAATTTAAAAATGGCAATACAGCAGGACTGCTGCTGGGATCTCGCCAGCAAAGGCCTGGAGCCAGAAGCTGATGTGTCCTCCAACAGGCCAGGGAGTGAATGGTCTTACTGAGACCTCACCCTGGATCGTTCGACTTTAAAATGTATGATCTGCAACAAATAATCCTGCTTCGAGCAGTAGCTCTGCTTCTAAGCCAGTGATGGCCACTAGGCCCTCTCTGTACACAAAAGGGGCTAGAAACCCAAGTGAAACCCACAGAGCTGTCAGAGCACACAGGTGCATCGCAGAGCCACTGGCGAACGTGCCAGCGTGAGCTGTGCTAACGGATACCAAGGCTGGCCTGACGAACACCCGAAGAGGCTCAGGAAGCGGACCCTCTGGCCTTTCTACGTGACTCTCAGAGATGGCTGGGTCTCAGTGTCAAAACCCTGTGCTCCCATCTTAGTGAGAACAAAACCTTGGACTCAAGGATTAATATCAATTGTGCTGAGGGGGAAAGGGTTCTTTCTTTTTTATTTTTTTGTGGGAAGGGTTGTTTCTAACACAGGAAACTGAACCTAAACGTTTAGAACATGAGGGCTTGCAGCAATTTCTCCTTTACAAAGCAGTTGCAGGGTTGGCATCCCACATCTAGGGTTGGTTCAGATCCCAGCTCTCGTACTTGCACCCAGCTAATGCACCTGAGACAGCAGTGGGTGATGGCCTAGTGCCAGGGCGCCCGCACCCACGTGGGAGATGCCGATGGGTTCCCGGCTCCTGGCTTCAGCAGAAGTACTGCAGCTATTTGGGGAGTAATCAATACCTCTCTCTAGCTCTCTTCCTGCCTTTCAAATAAGCAAATACATCTGTTTCTTAAAATCAGCTTGGAAAAAATTACCAAATGAGCTCAGTTCTCCCAATACAAACGTCCTAGGCAGAACAGGCTTTCGCAGCCTTGTGCAAGGCAAGACACAGCCTCTCTCTTTCTGGGAAACACAGAACACACCCACGCAAGATGAAGAGCAAAACCAGGCTCAAGCTGAGAGCAGTGCCGATCGGACCTCACTGCCAGCTGCGCCAACCCTCTCAGGCCCGCGAGGGAAGTCATCCCTCCTGGAAGCAGGCATGGAAGGTTGACGGGCTTCCAGAGCCTTCCAAAGAGCTGCTAGCCCCTGCGGGCGGAGCCAGGCTGCAGACGTGGGCTCGGCTCTGCCAGAGGTTTTCCAGCTGGACCAGGAAGCAGTGCCCCGGATGCTGCAGAAGCCTGAGGGAGGGGATCTCTCGTTCTCTCCCTCTGCTCCTGGCCAGTCAGTGGTACAGCATCACACAGAATCATTGAGATGCTAAAATCTGAGCTGGTTTCCAGGCTGTGACAACCCCATCCAGCATGGACTCAGTGCCCATTGTGTGGGTACACCTCTAGGTCAGCAATGCCCCAAGCCCAGGTTCCTCCATCACAACCCCAGCGTGGGCATGTCATACCACATGGGTAAACTCCCACCCATGCCACTGTCCTGCACCAGCAGCCCCCTCCTCCTGCTGCTCGGGCCTCACTCCCCCTCCAAGGTCATATGTGGTGGTAAACACTGCTGGCTTGCCTTTTCCCAGCCCCTTACTGCTGCCCCAGGCCAAGCCTCCAGCACCACCGCCCTGATCATCGCGACAGGTTCCTAATGAGGTCTCCCGGACTCTCCTCCAGCACAATCCGTTCTCCTGGCAGTGAAGGGGGCGCCAAGACAGAAGTTAGGTCCCAATCCCCTCTGCCCACAAAACCCTGGACCCTCCCCCAGAGCTCAGAGTCCTAGCATCACCCCCTGGCCATCTGTGCCTGTGACCTTGAGGCCAAGGAATTCCCTGTATGTTGTTTTTCACTGTTCTCTCCAGGCCTGGAGGTCAGGGCGAGCTGGGCACAGAGCATGGCGAGCATGAGCTAATGAAGTGAACCAGGAGCCTCTGCCACACCTAGGGAAACTGAGTCACCGAAAGGTCATGACCATAGCCTGCCAAGGGCAGTAGAAGCAGAACTTAGACCCCGACAGGACGGTCTCTCATGTCCCTGTCATATCCATCCAGTCAGGTCAAGAAGACAGCTCAGCGTTCCAGGCTTCCACCTGGCATCCTCAGACGTACAAGGTGGCCCGAATCACACAGACAGGGCTGGCGCTTGGCTGCCCGCCCCTCATCTGCTCTGGCAAGTGTGAAGCGTGGGGCAGATCCCCCTCCCCAACCCAGGCCATGCTGCAGAAGGGAACCCAGAGGCTAGGAGCGGACAGTGTGTGGGGCCACCCTGCCAGGACACCCGACTCGCACTCCTGCCTAAGGGTCATAAGGAACACAGAAGAAGTGAGCAAAAGAGATGCCATGCTGGAACTACTGTGCCAAGTTGGGCAGTGTCTTAGGATTGCAAGCTAATGGGGCACCCTTGGGAGGGGAGGACAGTGCCCTGGGGTGCCCAGAGAAGGCTGGCCTGGCTTCACTACCAATGTGACTCATGTGCCTCAACTTTATGTCCTGTGCCACAGAGCTAACGCTAGAAGCCACCTCTGCACATGGACGGAAGGACTGATCATGGGTAGCTGTGAGGGGCACACAGTGAGTAAAGCTGATCGTTCAGCAATCCAACATTTCTGATGCAATGCTACTTGTGCTAGTTCTTCAAGTATGTTCAGTCTATCCAAAGCGGATGTCAGTAAAAACCGGGGGAAAAACCCTGTCAGTAAACTCGGGCTAAATCCTCACTCCCTGCTCTTCTGCATCATTCCCACTGCTTCCATGATTGGTGTTGGATCTTTGGGGATGGCTCTACTATGACCAGGGGATGCTGGGGTCAGCCGCAAAACAGCCACTGATGCACCTGCCACACAAACCCAGGGCCTCACTGATATTGTCCCTGCACTTCAGCTGAGCAGAGAGGAGCCAAACCAGTCGTGGAAGTGTTATTAGGTAGGAAGCAGAGGCTGAGGCCCCAGCCCCAGGACCAAGGGAGAGCTCAGGACGGGCACTTCTCCAGCTGGGCCTGGGGCTCCTGTGTCAGAGAGGATTGGCCAGAGATTCCAAGGGCTTGAGCACATCCCCAGCTGCCCCTTTGTCAGGCTGCCATCCTCTGTCTCAGATCTGGGGTTCAGGGGGAGATGCTACTAGAGAAAGGGAGCCTGAGCTGACCTAGTTGAGCTTCAGTCGCACCCACAGCGGCATCGCCCAAATCCTCTGGTACGACACAGAGCGTGGGGTGCCAGGAAAGGGGTTCCCTGGGTAGAAGAGTTGGAGGACTGCATTTTGGAGCCCTGACACCCATGGGAGCCTGTGTTAAAGGTGCCTTTCCACTTGCTCACAGGGGGCACGGGGCCCTAGGGAGACCTTGGCCACCCTCAAGAAAAGAAGCAGTACTCTGGGGTCTCTGCAGATGGCCACGTGCTGCAGCCAGCCCCACACAAACTCCATCTGCAGTAACTGTCAAGAATGAAGAGGTGGAGGCATACAGAGCTTACCACCTACAAGGGGATGTCCCGGGCAGCCTGACCTCTCACTGCCTCCCAGTATTTCCCTTTGGCCTCCGGCTCTTTGAATCCTAAAGTCCTAGCCGGGTGCCAGGAACCTGCTGATTCCTGGTGAGCCACGGCACCACCACCCCAACCGTCACCCAGCCCACACCTGCCTTTGCTTCCGATTTCGAGAAAAGCAAGAAAGTGCTTTGATCTCAAAGCTTCGGTCCACTGCTGTGGAGTACTTACTCACTCCTGAGACTGTGCGGATGTTCCTTCTAACCACCACCCTGAGCCTACCACGAGGACCATTGGGACCGTTTCCAATTCTGTCTGAGGCTGGGGCACAGAGCCGGGCCTGGCCCGACCTGGAGCCAAAGGCTAGGACAGGCCTGGGTGCACAGGCAGCAAACTAGGCTCAGGTGTCAGAGTCTGGACTGATTTACTCCGAAATAGGAGCTGTTTATATCTGTCTGCACTTGTAATAACAGCCCAGCAGCTCGACTTCCCACAGGGCTCCTACTGGGCAACTGAGGCACACTTGCATTGTAAGCAAAGTTTCTGATCCAGCACCTAGCTTGCCAGGGTTGCCACACCTGCCCAACGCGCATGAACAACAGCCCCTGGAGAATCATCACCAGCTGTCCGCAGCTGAGAAATCATCGGAGCAACTAAAACCTGTGTTGGAAGTGAACTGAAAGTTCTCTCCAGAAGAGCCTTCCAGGAAAGACCACATGAGACCACACCCCAGCCGGGCGGATAGGGAAATGCTGTTCCTCCGGAAAACTGGAGGGGGTCCTCCGCTGACACGAAGGCCCTGGCCTAGCAGATCTCCGAGCCACTCAGACTGGAAAGAGAAGCCTCGCTACGCCGGTCACGGTGCACCCCTGGCGACGCTCCCCAGCCCCAGCGCGCTCCGAGGGCGGCCTTGCATGTAGCACCGTTTCCCGTCCCCTCATCCCCGTGCCCGTCGCCCCGACCTGGTGCTCCTCGGCCTGCAGCCCGTACTCCTCCTGCCTCCGCAGCAGCTCGTCCTCCAGCCGCGCGCGCAGCTGCTCCAGCTCCAGCACCTGGCGCCCCAGAGCCTCCGCCTCGTGCGCACACAGCCGCGCCTCCTCCTCGGCCTCGCGCCGGCTCTCCTGGCCACGCCGCAGTGCCTCCTCCAGCTCGTGCACCTCGTCCTCGTACAGCTGCACCGTCTCCTGCCACGACTCGGCGGCCAGCAGCGCGAAGCTGTCATGCACCTGTCGCAGGCCCGGCGGGGGCGCGGCGGGGCCGGAGACGCGGGCGCGGTAGTGCATGGTCAGGCTGGCGGCACGCGAGCGCAGCTCCCGCACGTCGCGCTCGTGGGCCGCGTCCAGGCCGTGGCGCTCGGCCTGCAAACGGCCCAGCAGTGCCTCGAGGGCGGCCTGCGCGCCCAGCGCCTCCTGAAGCTCGCGCTGCCGTGCGCCCAGCTCGGCGTCCAGGCGGCCACGGGCGGCGCGCGCCTCGGCCCCCAGTTGCTGCAGCTCTCGCAGCTCGCGCCGTAGCGCCTCGCACTCGCTCTCGGCCCGCTCGGTGGTCCAGCTCAGCTCCTCCAGCTGCTGCCGCAGCCCGCGCGCCTCCTCGGCGTAGCGAGCCTGTCCCTGGACCCACAGGTCCTCCTGCGCGCAGCGGCGGCACAGCTCCTCCTCCAGGAGCTGGTTCTCGCGCTCCAGCTCCCGCACCCGGCACACGTAGTCATAGAGCCGGGCGTTGAGCTCCTGCAGCTCGGCCTTCTCGTCGCCCGTGTGCAGCCGCCAGGACAGCATCTTGCTGGGCGTGCGCGGTTCTCCCCTCCGGCCTCTCCGCTCCGCTCTGCCTCTCCTGCCCCGGTCTTGTCCCCTCCGCCGCGCCGCCCCGCGCCTCTCCGGCCCCGCCGCCGCCTCGGAGGCCAGCCGACTGCGCTGGGAAGCCGCGGGCCGTCGCACTTAGCGGCCGGGGCGGGTGCGACCGCGGCCTCCAGCCAATCGGAGCGCGGCCCGGCGCGGCCTCCGCGGCCGCACAGCGGCCTCTGCCGGACTTGGCAGGGCGGCGCAAAAGCGTCTTTCCCAGGGACCCCGAGGGTCGCCGGCCACGGAGGACCCATTCGGGTGCTGGTTGGGACTGGAGTTGGGGCTGGGACAGGGTCTGGAGGAGGAAAGCAGGGGAGGACACCCTGGGGCAGCCCTGGGACGCGTACCCGAGACACGCCGGCATTCTCGTGACTTTCACGGACGGAAATAGAAGCCGCCGCTGCTGACACCTGCCGGACATCTGGGCTGCTGCGGGAGAATTCGCATCGGAGTATCTTCAGATGGACGCCTTGTCATATTTTAAAAAATACTACAGGGCCCAGCGCGGTAACCTAACGACTGAAGTCCTCGCCTTGAACGCGCCGGGATCCCATATGAGCATCTGTTCTAATTCCGGCGGCCCTGCTTCCCATCCAGCTCCCTGCTTGTAGCCTGGGAAAGCAGTCCAGGACGGCCCAAAGCCTTGGGACCCTGTATCCACGTGGGAGACTCTGAGGAAGCTCTGGGTTCCTGACTTCGAATTGGCGCAGCTCTGGCCGTTGTAGCCACTTGGGGAATGAATCGATGGATGGAAGATCTTCCTCTCTGTTTCTCTTGTTCTCCGTATATCTGCCTTTCCAATAAAAATAAAGAAACCTTTTTTAAAAATACTACAAATGCGGGGGCCTGTGCCGAGGTGTAGCACCGCCAGGCCTCCATCTGCAGTGCCAGCATCTTACATGTGATATGTTTGAGAACCCAGCTCTTCCACTTTTAATCCAGCTCCCTGGTAGTGCACCTGGGAAAGCAATGAAAGATGGCCCAAACGCTTGAAAACCTGCACCCACGTGGCAGGAGCTCCCGGCTCCGGATTTCAACCAGCCCAGCTGTGGCCTTCCAGCCGTTTGAAGGGTGAATCGGCTGATGAAAGGTAAAAGTTTCTTTCCTTTTTGGAGTTTTAGGTTTTTACCTCTTACACAAATTAACCTTGTGGGAGGAGGCACGACTTTCCAGTATCCATTTCGGCCTCTCTGGATTATGGTCTCTGAAGACCACAGCAATTCCATGGGTATCCGGCCTCTGTCTGTATTTGCTCTTACGTTTGTCCCCACCCACACCTACCGAATCTTTACAAATAACTTGCTCAAGGATCCAGAGTATGTAAGTCTGGGAAGAGGAGTGAGACCAGGAGAATGGATGAGAGCAGGTGGACAGGGTCTGGCTCAGGAACAGAGGCTGGCTTGGAGGGCAAAGAATGGCTGATGGAGAAGATGGCCCCTCACAGCAGGGAGCAGGGGGGTGGTGCTCCAGGAAGCACCAAAGACAGGCAGAAGTGAGAAGCCAGGAAGGGTTGGAACCGTGAAGTTGTACTGGGGTTCTGTCATTGCTGGCACACGTCGCTTGTCAGGTTAATTGACAGCAGATAAGGCATGGGAACAGAGTTCCTGCACCCCGCCCTGGCTACCTGCTCTCGCACCATGTAAGTTAATGGAAGGTGTGTGAAGTGCACCTGGCCCCTCCTGCCTTCGGCACCATTCACAACAACTGTCAGCTGGAAAGTTACTCTGGCAGTTCCGCGCACCTGGCCTCTCCTGCCTCCTGTTGGGCTACTTTGGTTAGGTAACTATAGGAAAACTTTGGGCTCTGGTAACTCCCTTCCTGCCTGAAACTTTCTTTTTACTGCATGGCTCTCAATCTGATTGGAGGATGAGTGCTTAAAAACCCCTGACTTTGGCGGCTCGGTGCAGTGGCTCCTGGAGTGTAGCAGCAGCTGCTGTCACCAAGCTCGGGAAATAGACTCCTCCTAACATCCTACACTTGGGTCCAGTGTGATCTCTCTCACACTCTGCAACAGGTTGTTGGCCGAGCCCCGGGGAACCCACTGCTCTGACAGAGGGACTCTCCCAGCAGGCAGAAGCTGAAAAAGGCACGCAGGAACGGAGTGGGGAGGAACAGCCCTACCACCTCTCTTCCTGTGCTGCTAAAGGCAGAAGTGTCAGAGCCTGGTCGTGGACATCCCGAGGCAGGGTCCCCCTGGCTTGTGCATCCCAATCGCCAACTTCCCAGGAGTTCTGTGGAGCCCTTGTTTAATATGGCCTCTCTTGGAAATGACATCATGAGGGCTCAAAGTTAACCACACGCAAAGAGGAAATACTCCAGATGTAGCACTTCCTAATTGCTTTCCTGTGGACTGTCCTTGAATTCTGCATGGCAAGTGCTCACAAACAGGAAATGCTGAATTGCCCATTCACTGACAGCTGGGGACGCACCCAGCAGAAACCACAAGTGGTTTATTGCTGGCCTGATGTGTTGCTGTCTCGCTGACCACCTAGCCTAGAGGAAGCAGAGAGAAGGTGCTACCAGTGCCAGTGAGATACAGAAGGGGGCAGGTCCCCAGCAGCAGCATTACAGAGAGCAGGGACATGCACTAACCTTTTCTCCAGTGCTTCCCGAACATGATCTAGATCAGCAAAGTGGCTGCAGCTGAGGCCCAGCTGAGACCTTTTAGTCCCCTCACCTTTGTCTGTTGGGGAAAGACATTAGGTCATGCCATACTCATTTGCCAATGGCAGCCACAGAGGCGCAGTTCTGTAAGACCCAACCCTCTGTATGGGATTTCCAGGAAGAGTCGTTGTGCATTTTATTGTGGTTGGTAAGAAAGGTTGGAAAGCTGGGGCCACTGTTGTGATACCGCAGGATGGGATTCCAGCATGCTGTAGCAGAGTATGGGTTTCAATGCTGGCTGTTCGACTTGCCAGCCAACATCCTGCTAAAACACCTGCATAGACAGTGAAGGATGGTCCGAGTTCCCTGAGTCACTGCCACCCCGGTGGGCGGCCTGGATGAGGTTCCTGGCTTCAGCCTGGTCAAGACCCTGGCTCATGGGGGAACCTTGCAGCCCTTCCTGGGCAGAGCTTTGGTAAAGAAAGCACAGAGGCCCAGTGGCCTGGGGCCATGCACCTGCCCCTTGTGAGGGAAAAGATGACAGGTCAGGGAGCCCTTCCAACAAGGAGGGCAGCCAGGCTCCCAGGCCATACCTGCACTGGGTGCCCAGGTACGAACCAGGAGGAGACTACCTCCTGTCTGAGCAGCTGAAGGAGGCCACAGGTGCAGCAGCTGGACGGTGTGCAGTCCTTGGTGCTAAGAACGTGTTCATGACGTCCAGTGCTGGGTTCCCAGAGCCGCCCATCCTCCCAGGCAGTGCATAAGTCACCAAGCTGCCCTTGGTCGCAACCTCTGCCTTAGAAGATAAAGGATAAAGAGCCTTTGGGATGGCCTTAGATATGTGAGAGAAGTGATACAGGGATGGAGTGCCCTGGTACTAAGTCCCCAACAACTGTGGTGGCACGCCAGGGAAGGAAGCTCAGAACCCTGAATGGGTAGGGAACCAGTTCCTGTGCCCCTTGTGAAAATAGGGCCTGAAAGGAGAAACGAGGGGTAAGTCAGAAGAAGGCACACAAAGCTTGTGGCCTGGGAGGCGCACCTGCCCCTCACAGGTCTGACCAGGTAGGAAATGAAACAAGGAGGGAATGGGAAATGGATCAGCTGACTTGGACTGAAGGTAAGAGTGGACCTGGCTGCTTCCTGTCCCAGCCCCTGGCATGAGCCTGACCTTGAGCTCAGCCATTGCTCCAGTCTGTCTTCATATCCTTAAACAAAATAGCACTTCCTGTGGAGGCATACGCAGGACCAGCTACAGTGTGCGCTGGCATTCCTGGAGGGAGTTAAAGGGTTAAATCACCACTTGCAACACCCACTTCCCATATGGGTACCGGTTGGAATCCTGCCTGCTCCACTTCTGATCCAGTTCTCTGCTAACATACCAGGAAAAGCAATGGAGGATGGCCCAAGAATTTGGGCTTCTGACACCCACATGGGAGACCCAGATGAAGTTCCGGGCTCCTGGCTTCAGCCTAACACAGCCCATTGTGGCTATTTGGAGAGTGAAACAACAGCTGATAGAAGAGCCGGTCTCTCACTCACTCCTTGTCACTCTGCCTTGCAAATAAATAATTCTTTAAAAAACCTAAAAAGCAAAAAAATTGGCCTTTGCCCTTACTGCTGCTAAAAGCACATTTCCTGTGGAGCTTGCAGGGGCTGTCTCTGGTGGGAGCACTTGGGACCCAGTGACTAAACGCTTCCCATGCCTGGCACCAGGTGGCAGCACAGACAGGAGGGAAGTGCAGACTCCTTCCTGTGGGCAGGGGGTCTAGGAGCACAGGGATCTCAGGAGGGTCTCTTTCCCTTCCTTGCTGTCACCTGCCAGTCTTCTCTGGCTGCCCCTTCCTGCCTCCATGTAGCCATAACAGGTAGCTGTGTCCTTTTAGCCCACAATGCTCTCCCAGGCTCACTGTGTCATGGGCTAGGGATCTGGCTGTCACACAACCCATGGCAACCTTTTGGGCCCAGCATCAGCCAGGACCCTTTATGGGCCACTCAGCCACTCTGAAAACTCAGCAGGTACTCTGTGTCCCTGAGTCAAGGGCTGCAGTCGCCCTGCCCTGGGGAAGGACGGCCAGCGGAGCTTGATCACGTGTCCTGGCTGTTGTTGAGTTCTGAGTCTGAGACCTGGGGCTGGGGCACTGATCTCCAGAGGCCTGTGTTCTTGACTACATGTGAGTGGTGAGCAGTATTCTGACAGCCTCAAGGAACGCTGCAGTCCATGAGGCATCTCTCTGATCCCTTAGGACCCTGCCCCCTCAATCCCTCTGCCCCCCCATTCATTCCATCCATACTGGGCATCTCCTTCCAGCAATTCCACTAGCCCCATTCTGACC